AAAGTTTTAAGGAAAAGAAAAATACTTTTGAAACATTTAGTATAAGTGGGTAAAAATTAGTGAAAGAAAATTAGATTTAATTAAATGGTAATGATTAAAATATGAAAGTGGAGGGGCATCACTTTTGTGGAGTGACCAGAAAGTATTCTAAATGTCTCTCTATTGTATAATGAATTTAAAATTCCAAGAAAGTTGAAAAATGAAAGCAGAAAACATCAGAGGAGAAGCTTCAAAAGATAACAATGTCAGAAGTTAACAAAAAACATTTTTTTATGTTCCTTTTTTTTTTTTTGTAAATATTTAAGCCATTAACTACAGCACAATTAGCAATTCAACAATAAATTATTCGGATAGGGAATAGAAAAATTTTTAAATTCAGATGCCAGCTTATAGGCTGAAACCATATGAACAAAGTTTTGAAAAAGAAGAGAGAGAGAGGTGCATTAAAATGGAAGAATCCATTCCTATAAGAGTCAAAAAGATTCTAACAAGAAATTTACTGAAAGAATGAAACTAGATAAGATTTGTGAGCACATTGTCACATTGACAATACTATGGGGTTTATATAGTTGCTTGGTAGTATAATAGCTATCAAATTTGAATTCTGGTTGAGGGTAGTTATAATATTGACTTTGTAATAATGCTCTTGAAGAAAGGTATGAGTTCACTTATCTGTTTAACAAAATATCTTGTTGCTGGCATACAATGATGGTTGACGGGAAAAAAATGAAGTAAACAAGTTAAACCAGCCTCATAACGATTTTACCAGCACAGATGGTAGCAACTAAAAACTGTTAATAAGGTTGCGAGTTGACTAATGTTAGAATTCAAATTCCATCACAGTCAATGGTCACATCATCAGAAAAGAAAGAAGTCAGCAAAAGTTATAAAGGTAAATACCGAGGATCTCTGATAAAGATTGTTGCGTAGTGAAGTCTTGTTTGGAAAATTGCACAATCAATATGAATTCTTTGATAAATAAAAGGACATGAAACAAGGCATCAAATATTGGTAACTTGTCTGTTAGTGACACTTCATTTCATTCTGGCAGAAAATGTAATTCCTAGTCAAAATTAATGCAAGTGAATTCAAATCTTATGTGAAATTCTCAAGTCTTGTAAGTATGTATATTTACTACACTATTTTTTCTCATAGGAATTTTTCCGTATTCTAAGATTTGCAATTTATTTCGAAATACAGTGGAACACTTACAGAGGATTAGGTTTTCTCTTTTCTGCGGAGACTTGAAAAATACTTCTTAGTTTATTTAGGGAGCAAATTATCCCAACGTACACAGATTATGTGGACTTCATTTTATTTTGGGGAATGGGGATATCACAGGGTATAACAGTGGTGAAACAAAAGCTCTGTTATAAATTTATCAGCTAGATGTACCCACTGTAATCTAAAGAGAAACTTACTTTTCTTTTCATCATTTCCCATAAATTTAAGTGTTCCTTTTAAGTTATGATATGTTTTTATTGTAATTTGTGTATTGGGGTTAGGAGATTTTACAATATAAAAGAAGAAAGTAACACTAAAATAAACTGTGGATAATCAGTTTTTGATCAACAAACAAGAAAGTATGAATAATTGGGTTATAATTTCATAACTTTCCACTGAAAAATGAAAGATGGAAACAATTTATCATTTACTGATTACTTTCAAATGTCATTTTAGTTAATTCCATCCTGCACAAATTGTCTATTTGAAGCAAGTTAAACAAGAACTATTCAAGTTTTTTCTTTTCAAAATAATCTAAAGAAAAAGTTGAGTGTTATAGGTATAGGTGTTGTCAATTTGATGTGTCATTAGCAAGCAAGGTAAGCATATGATGTGTGACTGAAACTTGAAGCATTTATACTGTGATTTTTGATAGTTTCCATGCAGAAAAGCGTAGGGAGACACAAAACAAAACCTTGAAGTGGGTAAAACATGGAAGGAAGAAAATTTTACATGAACTAAAGATAATCACTAAACATTCTGTGTGTGTGTGTGTGTGTGTGTATATATATATATATATATATATATATCTTTGTAGTAGGAATAAAGGGTGTCACTAAAACTGAAGAAATAATTTTAATTTTGATAATTGAAAACATGAGAAGGAAATAATTTATAAAAAAATAACTTGATACAAACTTCAAAAACTGAAATTGATAGAAGAAAAATATTTCTCTTTTGGAATTTTACAAGAAATATATTTGTTTTTTTGTTTGTTCCTTTATGGAAAAACTGCAAATACTGATTAGTTCTTGTCGTTAAATTCAAGAAAATTCCTAAAAAAGCAAAAGAAATTACTGTCTTCAAAACAAAATGAAAATTTATCAAGTTTCAGTTTTAATTTGGAACAGGTCAAGGGAGGTAACTCAAAATTCTTTTGGGTAAAATAAAAAAAAAGAATTTGCTGTTTGAATATTTTTCAGCAAAATTATTCTTAAAAAAAGTTTAAGTGGAGTCAGCAAAAACAATCTTTTGTAACATTTTTAAATGCACAAGATTTTAATACCAAATTTAACTTAAAATCAGTTCAGTACATAATTTGACTTAAAGAAAGCAATATCTTTCTACACAAGCATCTCAATAGGATTAAGATATGACTTGGAAGATGTGAAGAGTCATAAAGTTGGTTTTAAAGCTGAAGGGACTAGTTTATAGTAGTTTATATTTTTTGTTTGTTTATTTGCAAGATATTGATGATAGCTCAGCTGGGACTGCATCTTTGCAATCCTCAGATGCTATGCAAGGAAATTTGTAATTACTGAACTGATTGCTAATATTTTGGCATTAATAACTGTTTTGAACAAATTGCCTTTGTTGTTTCTACAAATATCATCATTGTAATCACATGACTTGATGATGCATGTTACATTATGATGGTTATATGCCAATCAAAATTTCCCTTCAGTTTAAAAGGATAATATTATAATGTATATTGTTTACTTTTATTTAAACTTTCCCTTTCTGCAAAATTAATTTTTCAAAAAAATTAATTTACAGTGTTTTGGATTTATATTTCAATTGATACTTTCTCCACCCATCTTCAGGTGGCAGAGTGAGCAATCAATGTGTTTAACTTAACATGATATGACAACTAGAAAATGACTGTAAGAATTGTCAATCATTCTGGATGAACTTAATGAAATCCAAATGCTTAGTTCATTTACTTTTCAGATCAATCAACTAAACCAAAAAGGAGGTGTGGAGTATGAAGAGAAACAGAAAAAGTCACCAATTTCTTTTTCAGAAACATAAGAATAAAGAAAGATTTAATGTCAAATTGTACAGGCAGATATTTTTGTTCAACTATAAAGCCATTTTAAAGTTATTATTTTTTCACTTGAAAAGAAAAATTCTCAGCAAATTAATATCATTTCTTCTTTTCTGAATGTCAAATATTTTTTATTGAAATTTTATTATTTTTATGTTTTGGAAAGTAAAATTCCAATAAGAGATGTGAATATGATGAATTCATTATATATATATATATATATATATATATATATATATACACACACACACACACACACATGTGTGTATGTATGTATATTTTCATCATACTCACATTATTTGTCTTTCTTTCCATAAACTTAATTTTCTATAAAAGTAAAAATGGTGAGCAATTTCTGAAGGAAAAAAAAAATCATAATAACTGGTCTATTTTAAAGTGAATAAAAAAATTAAGTAGCCAAAACGGTTTCTTCTGATGGGAGCTGACATTTTCTCTTCATATTGGAAAGTTTTTGCCATTTCTTTTGATTCACAAAAAAAAAAAAAATTGGCCAACCATTTTGAGAAATAAAATCAAAAACAAAATTCAGAGAACTGGTCAGCCAGTTTGACAAAGAGAACAGAGCAGACTAACAAGGAATGTGATTTGCTAAACATTCAATGTTATTTTAGATTTAGTTGTCTGCAGAATTGGTTTTACATGGCATAAGATTTTTTTTTATTTTAAAAAATGAGACCTAAACCCAAAACATAAAAATTTAATCCAACTAATTGAATTAAAAAGTGGTTAAAAATAGATTAGAAATATTGTTTTTTTTGTTTTGTTTCTGCACTTATTGTGGAAGATGTGATGGATATTGGTGCAGAAAGTAAATTAGATGTATCAAATTCAATTCCTGCTCAATTTAGTTTTGTTCATTTCATGCTAATGCCTTTGGAAAAGACATGAATTCATCTTCCTTCTGCTATGGGTTAAATAGCAGTGCAGACTGAGCTCTTTTGCCTTGAAGTGGCAACCAATCTGGGATAACTCTGAATTCAAAACTAGCCTGAAGAGGGTTGTGTTCTATCAGACTATCTTCTCCAAGACGCACCACTGCTGCTATGGCTGCAGTAAATGTGGTGCCTCTATAGCCCTAATCGATTATCACACACATGCACACACACATTATAAAGTCAAAGTTTGCAATATTTCAATATGTACAACTATCTTTTTAGTGAAAATAATAGAGTGAAACTTAGATAATGTATATGAGCACTTCATGACACAAAGCCTGTGCTTGTTGAATTGCTCTTTGGATGAGAATTCATACATTGAAAACTGAAACATTATCCACTTCACATTCAAGATAAGCATACAATCTGAATAATATTGATACTTAACAAAAAATAATTATGTTTTAATAAAAGTGTCATACTGCAATAAACATTTGTGAAAAGATGCCTAACATATCTGAGGTAGCAATGGTAAAAAAATGAAACTGGTCTTTGGAAGGAGCAAAAGAGAAAAAAAAAAGTTTTTCTTAGAGGGAATATGTCATCTCTTGTGGATGGAAGTATTGTCAACCAGCCATCAGGTAAGATGTTGCTCTCTCCCCGAGGAAAAAATAAAAAATAAACAATAATAAAAGAGAAATGTTAAATGAGGCTAACTGACAAACAGCAGAGAATGCTTGGCCGATGCAAATGCTGACAGGCTCCTTGATGAAGGGAGAGATGATGATGATGATGACGACAGGAGGTCAGCAGTTGCCCGGGTTGAGCCAGGGTCAAGAATTGTAGAGAAGACGTTGATAGTGGGGATAGACTTCCATATCAGGAGAATGCAGTGAGAATTCAAGTTTAACGAGACAGGTAAATTCAAGGGCAAGTAACTCCTTCCTGTGAAACCGGAAATCATCTTCCATTTGCTGAAAGTAGAGCATAAATTAAATATTAAGTTACAAAAACCAAAATTTTGTAAATTCACACAAAAATATATTTTGTTTTTAAACCAGAATTTCTCTGTATGATTGTACAATAATATACATGTATTAGCTTCCATACTTATGACCTGAATCATACAATATGATAACTATGTGGGTGACTGCCAGCATTTTGTAGCTAACTTTTAGTTGAATAAAGCTTGACTTGCAGTCCAAAACATACTTGGCATTCATTTTCATTACAGTGGTATGCAATACCTGGCCCAGAGATTGAATTCATGACTGCCATATATGCCAATTCATTTAAAAATTTAAAAAATACTTCAATGCACAAACCATGATTTATGTTGTATTACATAATGTAAAAAAAAAAAACCTTGACAAATGAACATCTCATACCTGTATGAGTTTAGTGACATCAAGTCCTTTTACATCATTCAATTTGGCTGAGAGAAGTAAACAGGCACCAGCACAGAGTTTCCGGTTCTGTTTGTTTATATAATGCTGCAATCAAATAAAATATGAAAGAAATTATTGTTATTTTACTTGCAACAGAAAGTGACATCAGCAGGTGCGAATATATAAGTGAGGAATTTTTTGCCAAGTTGCAATCAGTGAGTGGGGAGAGTATTTAATCATTTGGACAAATAATTTATTGTATACATTTCCATGGAATAATATCTATATATATATATATATATATATATATATATATATATATATAGAGAGAGAGAGAGAGAGGACTCTACCATTTTTTTTTTTGATGTATGAGGGTCCAGTAGCTCAGTTCATAGAAATGAACAGCTTCTTGAGCATATGATTTGATTATAGTGTTGAAGCCTTATATAGAGCCAACCACACTTTTTGGAGAGCTGAATACAGAGAACTGGTGCATTGCATGCCACAAAGTCCTCAAATGACCCATCCTCAGGTACTGAATTCAGAGTTTTCATTCTTCTAGACTAGCTGACACCCAAGACTATAGGACCTAGTTTGTCCTGCTTTTTACCACATACCTGGGGTAAGAGATGGATTCATACCTTTCCAAGGGTAATTGCATGTAAGTGAATGTAAACCAACTCAAGCATATCAATGTGTTAATTTATGAACAAGAAAGATTTATGTATGAGGAAAAGCATTATCTTGCTCTCACTCTCTTTATTTTGAATGACATTGCAATCTTTCACAGAATAGGGTATTTATTTCATTTCCCCCACCACTGTAACGTAGCTTCCCTGCACCTTTTCTATAAATACTTTCATAGTAATTGTTCTAGTGAACATTCCTCTATGGTACGTAGACTTTATGAATTTAAGTACAGTACTAGATTGGCAGCAAGGTGTCATCATTTTACAGTTGAAATGGCTAGAGGTAACTGAAAGCTCTATGCGAACAGTTTCTTCTCTTGCATTTCACATTTTTGGAATGCTCATTGGCTTTTTGCTTCCCAGTCAACTTTGATCCTCAAAAATTTAAATGCAATGTCAATTGTTATCTTCTGTCTTTTTAATTCTTATTCTTTTGTTGTCCTCACTCCTTAATGGTGTTTTTTTTTTTTCCTTATATTCTCTAACACTCAGCAACCACTTGTAACTTAGTGGCTTTATTGCCTTGCTTGGGGAGGGGCATGATTAAAAAAAAAAAGAAATATAAAAAGAGGTCATTTAGTGTACAGAAGAAAATGACAATGTACTTCAAAAGCCAAAGTATTCTTGCATTACATGAATCTTTGTAAAATAAAAAAACAATGCCTCTCCACTGAATAAGGTCAGTGGACATGAAAATCCTTTACACTCCTAGCCACTTATTGCATGCACAAGTATCATCAAGTTGAATAGACTGTTTTAAAGAGCATACAAATCAATTTGCTGATTTTTCTGCAACATTAGTAGTAAACTGACTTTGGGTGTCTGCAAGTCAGTGAAGTGAACTTCATGACTTTTTGAGAAATTCAATTCATCCTGTTACATTTAATCATTCTCTCTTATAACAGAGACCATTTTTCCATGGAAAAAATATGACAAAGCCTTAACAAAATTAGCTAGAATGGAAGTAATTTAAAAAAAAAAAAAAAAAGGACAAGAGTCTTACTTTAAGGATTAGTTTCTCAAAAAATACATATGCTTGAGCCACAATCCACAGATCTGCATTGCACTGAAACAAAAGAAAAAATATCTCAAAATGTTCTTTTATAATAAAAATTAATTCTTCATTATTTGCTTTTCTCTTTAAAAAATGTAGAAATTAATTTTGACAAAATTTGATGCTAAAATTTGCTTTTATAAAAAGTATTCACATTGTAAAAGTTTTCTCAATTTTGAAACAGTAGGATCTATAACAGTAGGCAAGTATATTTATAATACTAAATATTTATAACAGTAGGCAAGTATATTTATAATGCTAAATATTTATAACAGTAGGCAAGTATATTTATAATACTAAATATTTATAACAGTAGGCAAATATATTTATAATACTAAATATTTATAACAGTAGGCAAGTATATTTATAATACTAAATATTTATAACAGTAGGCAAGTATATTTATAATACTAAATATTTATAACAGTAGCCAAGTATATTTATAATACTAAATATTTATAACAGTAGCCAAGTATATTTATAATACTAAATATTTATAACAGTAGCCAAGTATATTTATAATACTAAATATTTATAACAGTAGGCAAACTGTGACCTGCAAGCTGTATGCAGTTGATTTGGCTTTTGGAATGACATACCTGATTTCATGAGGAAAATAACTTTTATTAAAATTTTGTATGTTTTATTTCATTCCCATTTATTCACTCACATTTTCTGACATAACCACGTGCATAAATGTCATCCCCAAGTCCCTCCCAGTTGTCCAAAATGTCCAATACCCACAGCTGTTCAATAAAGTGATCGCTTCAATTCAGGCCTTGCCTTATCCCACATTGTGATTTGTTTTGATCATAAGGTTGGCCAGGATCAAATTGTTGTTACGTATCTTTGTATTGGCCTGGCCCAAGTGGAATGAAGACACAAGAAAAAGAAAATAGTTTGAATAAAAAAAATGTTTATATCTGGTACTTTGTACAATATCTGGTTAGTTTCTTGTCAAAATCTAGCAGTTTGGCACAAGGCTGATGTCAGAGGTTCTTTTCAGGCAGGCAGTCACATGTGTTGTTTCTTGTCCAGTAGCTGGAACAATCTCTCTCTTTGTCACTTTGAGACCTTCATATTTATTGACATTCAACCAAAACTGGTGTAGGGGCATCATTTGGTTGGGGTATTCAGTATCTTCTCTGTCACAAAGAACTCTCTTTCCATTGTCCGTGTTCTGAAAATTAATTACTTCCCAATTTGAGAGATTCCCTCTTTCCATGGGTGGCAGTCGCAGGTATTGATCCGTCCCATAACTTCTTCCTTCTCTTATTAGCATCTCCCACTAACACTCCTCAGTTGGCATGGGTAGCTCCTCCACCTTCCTCGGTGTCTCATCTGCACCTGCCACCTTGGCCACTCTTTGACCAATGGTTTCCGACTTTCTGGCAAGGCTTTATCCCCAGATCATTAATCAAAAGAATTATTTTTTAAATTTCTACCTATGCAAAAATTCTGTTCTCATCTCAGTCCTGTGTCCAGAGTAGACATAAACCAGATGACTTTTTCCTTATCGCGCCATCATTCTCCAAGAAAACTCTTATCTCTGAATTATGATTTTAAATCTTACCCGATTCTCTCCATTTCTATTTTTTTTATGACCAGCAATTTTAGTTGGTGGGCATCAATCAATTGTGAGAATATCACCATACAACCCCTTTGTAAAGGAAATGTTTCAAGCTAGTCTTTCGGTTTCTTGAGAAATTTTGGCTTTCTGAAAAATAAAATCTTTAATCTTTCCCTCGATGGTTTATTGGTATATCATTCATTCAATTCATTAACCTTTCTTATTATTTACCAGTGGGCTATTGGTATATCTGTCATTCTATTCATTAGCCTCCTTATTGTTTACTAATGCTAAATAGTGTCACATAAGCAATAATTAAGTACAATGTTTCTTGAATTTTGTAACTTTTTGCTGAAGATAGCGTTTTCATCATTTTAAAACATTGCCAATGTTTTCTTTGGAGAACAAATATATTTTTTATTTAAAAAATATTTTCAAATAAATAAATTGTAAACAAATCACATGCAGTGACATGTGTTAATTACACTGTCATGAGTGATATTATAACAAGACTTCAATTTTTTAATTATAAAAGAAATCTTTTCTCCAAAGAAAAAGAAACTTTTCCATGTTTCTAAGACATATATTTATATATATGATCTGTAGTAAAAATGAATCTTTTTACTAGTGTGGCCCACCTTATGACGAGGCATATCTCATGCAGTTCATTACTTGCAAATGGTTACCCATATCTGATCTATAAACATTAACATTAAATTTCAATGATATTTTGTATGAAATACTCTTAGAGGCAATGTTTTACAGGAACTAAAAGAGGTATGTTTGAAAGTGCAGAGTACAAAACAAACAAAAATTGTTCTTTTCAACATATGAAGTACAGACTTTTAGAATCAGTCCAATCAAAATGTTTTGAGGCCAACATTTTTCTCCAATGTTTTTCCTATTGTTCTCTAGCATAAAATTGAGTGCTGGGCCTACACTTTCTTTCCCATAACAACAGCCAGAGGAGTATTCTATTTTCTGTGGATGTGTAGATTAAATAAGTTTAATCTGGCACAAGGCCACAAATATGTAGGAAACTGTTAGGAGTGAATTTACTTGCTATAAATTAGCTGTTTAACCATCACTCTACAGTAGTTTCCTCCTGCAAATATTATGTGTGTGAAGAAGTTGCCAGCATTCTCTTTAAAAATAAAAATGCAGGGTATTTTGTACAAGCTTAATATTTAATATACATAATCTAGTCTGGCCTGAAGCTACAATAGTGAGAATGAACAAACAACAACTTGCGAAATTAACTTGTTAAATATTGCTCTATAGTAGGCATCCTTATGTGAACATTTGTAGATATCCCAGACTCAATAAGCAGAGTCATTACTTATTGTCTCCCTTTGTATTTATCGTTTTAATGAGATAGATTCATCTGGCTAATAATAACTATATTTGCCAGTTTATAAGATGCATGGTTTATTTGGGACAACTCACTGCAATTTGGAGCAGTCTATTTTGAACTAAATCCCTAGTCATAATAGCAGTGCACTTGAAGCAGTGTGATATTTGCATGGATTTGCCTTTGAAAACTTTGTCCCATCTGCTGGCAAGTATATTTTTTTAAAAAAAAACTTGGTGAAAAGAATTTTGGATATTAATACATAGAATAGAAATATTGTAAGATGGAATATGTGAAAACCAGTTGAATGCTTAAATATTTTATTTATTTGTTGATGTTTTTAAAAAAATAAATTTAAACATGCAATTGATTTTCATGTATTCCATCTTACATAATTGTTTGGATATTTCATATCAATCATTTGATGATATTGAAAATTTTAAAAAATATGACAATAAGTTAGACGAGATTGCCACTGAATAAATAAAATATCAATATTACTTCAAAGAGTCATATCTCATTGCAAAAAGCTAAAGAATTATTTTTTAATAACATACATGAAAATTTTTTTTAAAAGTTGAACTATCAATGCATCCTAGAATGAAACACTATCTTATTAATGACATTTTTTTTATTTGAACATATAAAAAATTAATTATATTTTCTAAAAAAAAAAAAAATAAAAATTGCATGCTTTTTGGTTAATATTTATTAATTTTTTTATCCAATTTGGGATCTATAAATATTTGGTTAAAAAAGAGGTCCTTAGTTGATATTTTCTATGAAACATTTTTAAATGCAAAAGATTATTTACTGAAATGTTATAAATAAATAATAAACTGAAAATTTTACATATTTACATTTTCAAAATCTTCAATGTTTAATATGATTTTTATTCCATCTTTTTGTGCATAACAAGAAATATAAAATATATTTTTTAAAAATACTTACCTTTACATATGCAATTTGCTTCATCTGTCTTTTCAAACTGAAAAAAAAGAGAATTTATAACTATGATCACATGCCTAACAAGGTGCTTGCAAAACAACTCTTAGCTGATCAGGTATGGACCTATAAGACCTCTTAAGATTTACTTTAGGATATGTTGCCAGAATGTTAAAAGTATGTCCTTTAACTGTTGCAAAATGGAGGTTCTGCTCTCAAAGAAGACTATTGCATTGAAGGGATGTATCTGACCTTCAATGATGCTGGTATGGTAGATGGTATGCAACAAAGTACTTTCTATATGAATGATATGACTCAATGTTTTTCAATAGAACATTGCCCAAACCATCTTATTACCTTCACCAACTTGTTCTTTCCCATTGTGTATCCTTTTATCATTACTTGAGGATAATGATGCACATGTACCTTGCCATTTATATCTGAATGGCCTGTTTATATACTGTAATGTTATCACTGTAAAGACAAAATCTCTTATGCACAAAATTACTGTTTATTCACCTCTGGATTTTGTCAACATTGATCTAAGGTTTTATAACTTTGGTTGATTTCTTTAAATGTGGATCTTCTTGCGATGTTGTGAGAGAAACTGTCTTTTCCTTCTCAGGTAGTGTGTTTATATATTGTCCTGTGAATATCTTAAGTGCAGCTGGGTTAACCACCTGTTTACATTCTAGGGGCAGCCACTGTCATCCTGTGAAGCACAAATATGTATCTGGTGGCTATGAATTCACCTGGCTCCCCTGATGTTCTGGTATGCAAAGTCTATTTTGTTATCTTTTAGAGTGAGCCCAGTAGATATTGGAATTATTGCAGATCAACTTCTCTAAGAACAAAGGTTCCTTATTAGCATTAAAATTTGTTTCAACTCATCTGGTATCTCCTGGCTGAAATCACATACTACACACCAACCCTATACATAACAAAGATCAGTGTATTGTCTGTTGTATACTTTTCTTTACCTTGATTAAAGCTATCTGCAAGTTGTTCCACAGTAGCCTTTTTCTTGACTTCTACTTGGTGGGAAAGCTTCTGTTTAATTTTGTATTAATAAATCTTGCTTACTCAGTACTTTGTTGGTGGTTGGTGATTTTTCCCTCCTTGGAACACTGTTCAGATTGTGGTACTCACAACAATCTGAACATTCTGCAATCTGTACCAGTTTTAGAAATTCTGTCTTAGTCTTTTAATCATATTAATTTGGCCTTTCTCAAAGTTGCTAAAATCTTTTTTATTCTCCACAAATGTGGCATTCAACACATCAAAATGACAATCAACGCCAGCTTACCTGCTTATATACCCCTGACTCTGACATGCACATTCATTTTGGCCACATCACTGGTTATGTTTCAACTCATCAGTGTATATGGATTATAAAATATGAAATACATTTCACTTTTTCTATTGAATTCTCTGCCACATTAAATGAAAATGGATAACGGGCTTAACTAAACTAACATTTCAAATTAAAATACACATGGAAGCAAAAACTAAAAGATTAAATAAAGATACTTTAAAATATACAAGTACAAACAAACAGATTAATGTTCAACAAAATTAGACATTTATAATTTTAGATCACCTGATGACATCAACTTCTGTTTTTAGAGGTTTGTGAGAAATTTGTCCCACATGAAAGGGTTAAAGTTAAAGGTGACAGAATCAATAAAAGCAACAACGGCTTGAAAGTTTAGAGTGGCCAATTCTCACTTTTAGGCAAAAGAATAAAGACTTAAACTCCTGCTCAGAGTGTAACAATAGAAGAAGAAAATGTTTATTTACAGGTATTTAAAGGTAAAGGGATATATACAAAATAAAAATAAAATAAAAAAAATTAAAGGTAAAGGGATATATACAAAATATGAGAAAGAAAGAGAAGAAAAGTTCTTTAATTTAAAGGAAGAAAAAGTGTTCGTATAAAGGCTTGCTCAAAATATTTCTCTGAACACTTAAAAGTTCTTTAAGCAAGTAAATTGTTCTTAAGGGGTTAACACTCACATAAGATTTCTTCAGAGCTCTTGTTGAGAGGGAAACAATCAAAAGATCTGTAGCTTGTAGTTGAGTAAGATTGTAGGCCAACGACAAGAATTTCAAGGTACTAGAAAGCAGATTTTGAGTAATTTTAGTAGAGGGGCGACATTCTGTCTTTAAAGCCCAGCATGTAGATTCCTTTCTTGAAACAGGTTTTGAAAATGACTGGTGTTACTGTTGCCAATGTTATCATAGACGGTCCAATACTCAATGCCAAAGAGTTGCATATTCTATGTATTTATTGAGATAAGAAGGTTCAGAAATATCGGGAACTTTTCCCTCCAAAAATCGCTATACACTTTCCCAGCCCTCTCATTCATCAGAAAATATATTCTTATCTCTGATAAAAATCAAAAGTTTGGGAGCTGGTCTTTAGAAGCAAGGGTCTGAAAAGTTGTGAGTATTTTAGCATTTTGTAAGTAAAACTTGCATTCATTCTTGACCATTAATCATTTTCCCTTCACTTTTGAAGCACAACATACATAGTGTTTAAATTTGCTAAAATGGATCTTAACTCAAAAAATTGTAAAATTTAGTTGTTAACCCTCAATATTTTTTCTCTATTACCAGAAATATTAATTTATTAATCTAGAAAATGATTTTAACTAAACAGGTAAGTGGCCGAGCAGCAGTAAAGTCAGTGGGTAATGATAAGAAAAACTTTAACTATGTTTACCAGGTTCAAATTTTAGTTGGTTTTAAAACAGAATCATGGTTATTGTTTAATTCCCATCACTATTGGAATGTGTTCATCTTGTCTGGTCTGGTTTCTGCACATTGAGAGTGCTCCTCCCAATTGAGAAAACACTGGTGTTATATAGCTCTCCCAGTCTCATTCAAGTGCAAATAGTCAGTGCCACCTACTGTAAGTCTTCTCTCAATAGGCCATTGTGGAAGACAATGTAACTCCTGGTGCTTGCAGTACCACATGCAACAAACTCTTATAAGGTTGACCTGATTCTCTGTTACACTCCACCCTGATCTCTGGATCACAGCACCAACATGTAGAGGGAGGGTGTTTCCTTCTGGTGGTCCTTCGCAGGGGAGGTACTGTGTCCTCATTGTTTTCACCATGTGGGGAAGGTATTCTAACTGTTGTCACCATACAGGGGAGGTACTTCATCCTCATCCATTGCTGTCTAGGAGGTGCGTTGAACATCTGGGAATCTACTTCCAATTCCCAATCACTCATGGATGAGTTATCAACATTGCTTGCATCAAAGCATTAGTCCCATACCAGTCAGAGGTCCTTAACATGATGCAGCACACCATCAATCAGGACAGATTGTGGACTGATGATTCCAGTGACCTTCCTGGTTGTAAATTTGGAGGTACATCGGTTCTGGGGTGGTCTCACCCACACCACATTTCCAACTTCATAAGTCTCGTGCTCTGTCAATGGTGTTAGTGTTGGTACAAGCATCAATGCCCTTGAACCTAACCTCATAAATATGAAGTGTGTTAGCTGGTGCAGTTGGGCTCGACACATCATCCTTTGGTGTTGCATTATACCAGTAAATGGCTTCTTGTATGGGGCACTGTTTCCACATTACAATCCATTTTATGCTATGGCACCTATTATCCCATTTCCAGACAGTACATGCATATACCAGAAGCACAGCTGAACACAGTATCATTGTCTTTGAGGATTTCTTATGGCAGACCTCTCACAAAATATCAAATCCAACTGCCGAATAACACTCACAGGGTCTTGTTGTGCTATGGGTCACCAGAGAAACATATTGGCCCACAGTAAATCAAGGTCAAGTAATAACTGCAGCCATAATGTGTAATATCCATGCTCAGCCTGAACCACATACTGCAAACTGCTAATCTTCCGTTCCACCAGCACAATGGTGCTGGATCTATGGATTGGCATTCAGGACACCTCTGAACCACCATCTTGACAGCTGTGCTAGGTACAGGGGGATCAACTCATAAAGTAAGTGATCCACTTAACACCAATGTAACTGCTATGCTGATCTATTTCCATTAATTTGCATGGACCCAGCTCTCCCATGGCTGCACCACATGCTGAGATGCTAGGTTTGGTGTCCTTTTTCAAAAAATCAAACCACCTCTGTGGAATTCTGGTAAGTTTGTCAGCTTTATTTTGGTTGGATTTTACTAGCCTTACATTTAAGGTGTGGCCATACTCCACAATTAGCATCCAAAGAGTCCCTAGTCATGTTCGCACAAGCATCTCACACGCTGCCTTCATTTTCAGGTGTGCCTTTCTGATCAAAATGTCATTAATCCAGTGGTGAGTACATGTGGAATCAGTACCAGATGCAACATTTACATCTTCCACTGCAGGGCTAAGTTTATGCCCTTTAATTTTGCATTGAGCTTGGCTAGGTTGATATGTTGAGCACCACCTCAACAAAGCCAGCATGCATCCTCCACAATGTCTCCATTCACTCCCAATGTCACCCCGGTGGCCAGAGAACTTGCATCCACCCACACTGTCATTTCTGGGCTGCTCACACAACAGCCTCCTCTTGGAGAGTCTTCTTGAGGCACTCTTGTCATCATCTCCTGAATCATGCACTTCAGAGGGATGTCACAAGTTTCATTGTCCCACCCTTTGGTTATTGCAGTGGCTCATTGCTTCAAGAATGCCATAGCTGCCTTATGTCAACCACATACTGGAAGGTGGCCTACGAGCTTTACACAGAGAGAATGTATTACGACATGTGATAACAGTTGGAGACTCTGGGGACTTACTTGCTTGTTTCCATGGAAGCACGCTGCACTTCTCCCAGGACTTGCAAATCACGCACTTTTGCAACAACTTTTGTCCAACAAAGATGTCATCTATGTATGCTGAAGTGGCATCTTGGACGGCTTCATCCTGCAATAGTAGTCTTGATAATTGCCTTTATTATAAGAGGCACCACATTGAGGTTAAAGCCTAATTGTGTAAGGCAGTACATCTGCCCCTTCAATAACACAGTCTAGAAAGGTCACAGCGACCAGTGTGCTTGGACCTGTAGGTATGCTCTCCTAAGGTCCAACTGCAATACATTTTGCTCCCATTGTCACCATTCCCTTAGCTTGTTTGCACAGACATCCGCACTTGCCATGAACACATTTATGTACCCATTTAACTCTCTGTAACCTTTTTCTTGCTCTCTTGGATAACGGCCATCAGTGGATCTAGACCTTTGGAAGGTCTGAGCTCCTCTTCAGTATATGGTATGAACCAGCCATTATCCAACCATACTTCTAACTCATGGCTATATTCCTTATACACCAGCTCAGACACAGGATTCTCTGCTATCTCGTTTTGTAGGCTCATTGGTGCCTGACTTTTGGCCCACTTCCATGACGCCATCCATTCTTTCTTTTTCTGATTGAACTCAAGGCTAAAGTTTGATTCCTCTATGGTAAGAACTCCACTGCATCTGAAAGAGTGATTCCTACGCCCTCTAGTTCCTTGATCACATTCATCCTGATCAGGAGATCAAAACCAAGTGGCTTCTATTGAGCCACCAGTACATCAATCTTGATAGGATTTCCACTTTGCAAATGGAGAGCAATGACTGATCCAACAATAAGTTCTGGTCTCCCCATCCATAATTGCTATGCATACAAGCCATTTCATCAATGACTGGCATATCTCTCTGTTGGCTATAGATAGTGAACAACCAGTATTGATCAGCATGGTGATGGTTTTGCCATCAACCTGGAGCACAATCACAGGTAGTGCTGGCTTGGGAAGATACTGGCACTGACATATCTCTTCTCATGTTTTTCCAGACAGTGTTGAGACATATAGCCCACAGTATGACAATGGTAACAGCACATGGTATTGTGTTGTCCTCACCCTCATCCCCTGTCATTTTCTCAGCTTGAACAAACTTCCACAATATAGCTAATGTCATTGTGTCTAAAGCACTTTCTGATATCACCTTCCATGCTTTGTATTGGCCTGGTCACCACTGCCACCATCTCCATATCTCTCATAATTGCCCTGGCTCGGGCAAGCAGCTGGTTATCCTAGACAACTCATGAAGAGTCCGCTTTACATTGCCTGGCAACTTGTGCACAAATGCGAAAGCCAGCAGATGGTCGCTCATCCCACCCAACAAGAACACAAGTTTCTTCAATTCAGTCAGGTATACATCCATGGATTTGCCATACTGCAGATGCCACTCAATGAGTTGTTTGTATGCCATGAACAAATCCCTAAGTCAGTCTTTATCTGGTCAATGTATAATTTTGCTTTATCATTCAGCTGCTAGTAGACTGCAAATGCTCCACCAGTAGGTGTCAAAGGATCACATGCTCTAGAGATTTCATTCCACTTAGCCTGCAAATTAGTTCCTTCTTTATCTATTAAACCACTGGAAAACTAGATGCTGGTCCATCAAACTTGGGAATTAATTTTAAGTCGAATTTGATGTCAATCATTGTCCATCAATTGCTGAAATAGCTTGTATTTGTCTTGTCTGTTTTTCCGCACATTTGCACATTGAGAATGATCCAACTGAGAAAACATTGGTGTTATATAGCTCTCCCAGAACCATACTGACTATTGTCTAATACCTGCTCAGTATCATTCATATGCAAATAGTCAGTGCCACCAACTGTAAGTAAAATGTCTTCTTTCAACAGTCTATTGTGGAAGAGGATGTAACTTTTGGTGCTTACAGAACCACATGCAACCAACTTTGTGTCTCTTATTGGGTTAACCAAATTCTATTACATGGAATTTGCCATCATTTGATAAGTAATCATTAGTGTTAATAAAAGTTTTGAGATGTTTAATAAATCCTACCCATATGTGCCATATAAAAAGCCAGTTAAGAAATACTTCTAAAAATGACCAATGCTGAGTAGTTTTATTGGTTGAAAATACATTTTCAAAAATTAACAAATTGAAATAAAAAGGAAAGATTGTATCAAATTGATTCAAGAAGAAAAAAATCTGTTGTCAAATTTTCTAAGCGCTCCTTCCTCATTATGTCCCAGAAATTTCAGCGCTCTCTTTCTGATTCTAAGTATGTGTCCTCGTTTGTTTCCATTCTTCTTAAAAACTTCCTCATTGCTTGCATGTCCCACCCATGGTATTCTTAGCATCCTTCTCTAGAACTGCATTTCTATTGTCTCCTCTTATCTTTATCTGTGAGGAAATTGTCCAGCATTAAAATCATAGGTTAAGTATAAAAAAAATGACTTGATGTGAAACAATCCTGGACACTTTTTGGTGAGAAGTGTCAATCGATCATAATTTACATAAACAAAGCCAGAAACTTCATACTGTCATTGAGGTTGTGCTGATGGTGCAACCTTAAATAGAATTGCAGAAGTAATATTCTATTGCAGATTGATGCTAGAATTTATAAAAAGAATTCAAAGGCAGGTCAATTGAAGCAAGGATGACATCACAAATAGAAGTGTGGCATGAAAATGTTAACAAATCAAACTGTTTGCTAGAAATAAACAATTGTCCATGAAAAAGTCTTACCTTCTCAATTTGCTCAGGGTGAGCTGGATATGTGGGAAACGGTCTCGGAACTTTTCATTTAATTCCTTTTTTAAACTTGAAGGCTTCACATAATCAATAATGGACGTCTGAAAATCGAGATTAAAAGTTTGAAGATACTAGTAAAAAAAATGTATGGAATAATGAAAAAATAAAAATCACTTCATAATCTCAGAAAGCATAATGAATTTTCATTTATATTCATTTCATAAGTTCATGATCCAGACTCTTAGCCATTCTAGCAAGATGTTGCATTGATATTCCTTCTGGGCATAATGAAAAAAATGGGAGGGACACATGGATGTTCTATTTAAAAATCTTTAAAATATTCTGGAAAGAGAAAGTTTTATTTCTTGTATTTTCATAGACATGAAAAGAGTAATAGGGCTGTTAGTTTGGAAAAAGTTTCAAATAAAACTCACTCTGTATGATGGAAAAGTCAAAAGTGTACGATAACTGCCGGCTTGGAGCTCTGGATCATCCAACAGATATGGTTCATATTTGAGCTCATCTTCTTCCACAACTGAAACAAGAAAGCACATTTTCATTGTCAAAATAAAACTTAAAAATTGCAATCTTATCAGCAGCTGGAGCTTGACAACTTGGGCCATACTGACTCCATGCTCTGCCAAGACCTTGAACACAATTGATGGATCTTGCTAACAAATTAGAAAACTTGTCAAACAAAAAACAGATGATTTAGAATTAAAGCCAAAGGTTTTACTTTTTTTTATATAAATTGGCTTTGGAGAATACAAGAGCAGATTTTAGAAGGTGATATTAGTCAGAAGGTTAGAATGGGACTGGAAATTATATTCTTGCAAATTTACCAGTTTCTCTAAACTGAGGTTTCTTTGTTTGCAAACAAAATGAGATCTTTTTTTTTCTTTTTATTCAAATACTAAACAAATCCTCTTTTGAAATCCACAACAAATTGTTTGTGCAAAAATACATTTATTAACAATGTATGATCAAGTAATTTTTACATTGGTAAAACAAATCTGTCTTTCATGAATTTGGATGAAAAAAATTCATGTTGACAGCCCCATAAAAATCAAAACAATAAAAATATTTGATGCTTTATAGATGAAACTTTTCATTGGCAATTAAAAGAAAATATTACAATTTTTAACCAATCAGGAACAACTCCTGTAATGCTGATAATGATTCTTCTTCAAAATATAGAAAATGAAATGGCAAAGATGAATGACAAAATGAACATTTATTCCTCAAATGTCCAATTCCATCTTTTCTGGTTAAGATATGTTTTTTTTTCTCCTTTGTTGTTTTAACTGCTACATTTCAGCTGATAAGCTTCACATTCTTCTTCAGGGAGAACTCATCTTTAGCAACCTTAAATTTTTTTCTTCTTTATTGTTTTGATTGCTATATTTCAGCTAGTTAATTCTCCAGCACTTCTTAAATGGGGTAGTTCCACTTTCTTTTTTAAAATTCTCCTTTTTTATTTTGATTACTATATTTCAGTTGGTTAGCTATCCAGCCTTCCTTGGCCATACCTCTGGTAATTTTATTTTTTACCTCTTGAGTGATGATTAGTCCGATGCAATAACATTCCACAAAGATAAAATCTTTTCATTGTACAAGACAAATTGTGGATGTTTAATCACTCAAGTGACCAGTCAAACTGGTGAGTGGAGCCTGGGAGAAAAAACTAACATCACCAGGTGCAATATATTCTTGAGGAAGGTCAGAGATCCCACCAGCTTATTTTCAAATGATCAAACAATAAATAAAGTTAAGGATGCTAGTTCAGAAAAACTTGTCAAATGACAAACTTTCACCGCAGAAACTGAGATAACTGGTTTTTCTTCTATTATTGTCTCACTAAGTATAAGAAGTGGTCTTATTTTTGTTTATTGTAAGGTGGCCATAATGGCTTAAGAAGCAATTAAAGAATTTAACGTTATTTTGGCTTTAAAGCAAGATGTCCTTAATTTTCCCTCCAGATAATTCATTGCTGTTTGGAGCTGTAAGGAAAGCAAAACAACAAAGAGGACGGAAAGACAAAGATGTGGATGCCGACAGAAGCCAGACAATTACTTTCTGTTACCATGGAAACTGGCACAGAGGCGTCAGGTTACATCTTACTGCAAGGGATGAGGCTAGAGAAAGTTGCTGAACAGAAAGAGAGATGAAGATGTAAGTAAAGAACAACAGGTGAGTGAAGGAAGGGAGGGAAAGAGGGAGATAATGATGACAATGACAACAACAAGGAGAAGGAAATAAGTGCAGTAACAAGGATGGAGGAGGAAGAGAAGGAGATTTACTCACACAAAGAGCAGAAGAAGCAGCAGCAGCAGTAGCAACAGGTAGTGAAAAGGTGAATAGATATGTATGTGTAGATAAGTAATTTGTTAGATACTAAATAGATGCTGCAGCTTCTTTGGTGTTTGGAGTTCATCTGTTAAAATTACAAGGGTCTTTAAACTTCTCCCTGGGTACAAGGAAAGTCAGATCTTTAGATCCTGGCTGCCACAATTCAATACAAAACAAAACTATTTTATGTCTCCAATTAAAGACATGTAATTGATATTCCAACCAACCTAATTCTTGTGCATCTGAAGATGAAATCTGAGAGAAATTTACAGAAGATTGTCTCCAGATTTTCATGTTATTGATATCTCCCTCATTTTGGACATCTTTTTTTTTTAACTATCACTGCTGCTCTCTGACAATCAGCTAAGCAAGAAAAAGACAAAAAAAAAAAAATCTATACTTCAAATACAGAAATGTAGTGAAAAGTTCTACCTGTTTCATAATAGCTGTCAATTATATATACACTTTTTATACTCTAAATGTAGCAACTATTATGGGACAGAGATACTATAATTTGTTAGAAAAGTAATTTTTGCTATAAAAAATGATGAAGAGCATAATCCTGTAACCATTTCAAAAGGATATATCCATGATGAAATGCAATAGTAAGGCAAAATATTGGATCTCATCTTTATAGACAGGATGCAGGATAATTTTTCCAGTAATCATTTATATAAATAAACGTGCCTCAAATATGCTGTTAAATATTTGGATAGTGTCCTTCCCTAGAAATAAATTATTTACCATTACTTGAGCTCCAAATTGTCCATTTTTCTTCCTATTTATAAAGTCATCAAAGTAAGTCAGTTGTCTTTGATTATTTGAACTGAAGAAAAAGAGTTTGATTTAGTAACTATTGGGCAAATGTTTGAAGTTATCTATGAGAATGATTCTGATTTCAAAGTAAAATAAAGGGTGGTCAGGCTAACAACAGTTAAATATCTAATAATGACAGGATATAATGCTCAGGACAGAGAGAGAAAATCAACATCAGAAAAACTGATGGCACTGAACAATGAAACATGACAATTATATTTGTAGGCAAGACAAGAATTTGTATGATCTTGAATAAAAAAAAAAGAAAAAAGAAGAGAGCCAATATTTTAAATGTTCATTAACTACCATTTTCATGAATGAACAAAAATATATATAAGTAATGGGTGGCCACTCATATCCAAGTATGGCTGTTTGCTGGGGTGCATACACAATCTCTGTTACAGTTGCTTGCTCAGTCACATTTGTTTGTTCAACACCCAGAGTCCACTTGTAGTTTGTATTACAACTATGCTGAGCAGACCTTAATTACAGTTTCTGGGAGAGAGTGCATTATTTGTAATGATCAACAGTTTGAACAAGGCCTGCACACTTAAACCCTCGTTCATAATGACTTGTGACTTTGTGTGAGCATAAACATCACTGAACAATTCTGTCAACCTGATTTCACTCACAAAGCCTGGTTCAACTTTTTAAAGGTGCCATGTTTCCCCAGGCCAATAACTTCAAAAAGTCATCTCGACTATAGTGAGATTCAAACCTGGGTTTCATGGTCAGAAAATGAACATTCTAACCAATTACTCAACAACATGCCCATATATATATATATATATATATATATATATATATATATATATATATATGTGTGTGTGTGTGTGTGTGTGTGTAAATAAAATTATAGCATAAATTATTGAAGGCACACACATACACACAAATTTGCATTGTCCTCTTTTCAAGTGAAAGACTTTTCTATAAAATAGATGACAACTTCCAAGACAGTCCTTTAGACTTAGATAACAATTCCCAGAAAAGTTTCTCTCTACACAGGGTGATTTTACAAAGAGATTTTTGATCCAAATAAAAAAATAGATAAATGTCTGCTCCCAACAGCTCTCTTTCCTTTTTTTGGCAATCAGAATCATCCTAATAAGTACCATCAACATTTTGGGCAATAGCCACTAAATCAAGATTACAGTTGATGTTTATCAGCCTTGTGGAATTTATAAGAATAAGACTGTTAGAGAATTGGGTTTCTTGGGTTTGAAACCAGTTTCTTTAGGTAGTGGCATTATGATACAATTGTAAAATGTTCAGTTTTTAAATTTATACTCTACTTCATATTCAAACTTAACAAATCTACTCCTTGTAGTTAAATTTAATGTCATTTATTAGTACATTAGAGAGACTTGTTCAAAATTTATGCAACATTTCATACATGCTGTCAAAAAAAAAAAAAAAAAAAAAGCTACTTTAGGAGCCTGTTTGAAGTAAATCAAAATTTTTCACATAACTCTTTGTGTGCTTCCAGAATCTGAATGTCAAACATATTGTGTGCTTTTAGAATGTAAATAATATCTATAAAAAGCTGAATGTCAATAATGTCTATAAAAAAAAAGATGGATCTTTTTAAAAGATATTTTTTATGCTTTGTGGATAACTTTGGATAAACTGATTTTGAATCAACACAGGTAAAAAAATATCCAAAAAAAATCATCAAACTAAAATAATTTTCAAGTTTTAACCAGTTCTGTATCTCTTTATAATTTAATCAAATAAAAAGTGCCTTATTTCACACTAAAAATATAGAAATATAATATTTAAGTCTACTGATGGCATATATGTTAGAATAATGTTTTCAGAAATTTTTTATTATAAATATGACAAAAATGTTTTGCCACACAAGTGCAAATGATTGTCTCCATCTCAATTAATTAAATTGAGATTTAATCTCTGATAACTGATAATTATTAACTTTTATTAATTAAAACCTTTAACCAGTGAGATGATCTTTCCACAATCTCCTTTGCAATTTAATAAAACTCAAGCAAAGTTGATGTTGAAATGCAGCTTATTGTGAGAAAAATAACTTTTGCATAATTTGAATAACATGTTTACAAAAACACACAAATATATATAATATAAATGTGAATTGTGTGTGTCCAGGATTTTATCAATTATTTTAATGAGTGATGGCCAGCTGCTACTTGTTTCTGAGCACACCCATCTGCCAGGGTGGCTACCAATTACCTATTACAGATGCCTACTCAATGCAGAGTCCACCTGTGGTTCATACTATAACTATGCTGAGTGGACTATAGTTACAGTTTCTGGGAGATAATATATAATCTGGCATGATCAATTTTTTTGGACAAGGCCAGCACACTCAAAGTTTCAGTCATGATGACCTATGATTTTGTGCTAGCACAATTCTTGACAGCTTCAGAACAGTTCCGTCTATCCAATTTCACTCACAAGATACTTGTGGTATGTTTTTTAGGCACTTTCCAAATCTGTCATGTGCTGGGATTCCCTCCCTTGATCTATATGATCAAGAAGTCACCTCCCTGACAAATCAACCATGGTGAGATTCATACCTGGATCCATTTGGCCAGAAAGCAAACATTCTATCCATTTGGCCATATGCTCATTTATAAATGTTAACAAGTAATAATAAAATCTAACCCTATTGTTTAATTAGTTGCTAAGGTTTAAATTTACAAAGAAGATTTGAAATATCTTGGAAAAAATGACATTACCCTAATATTTTGCTTTTCATTAAATAAAAGAAAATGAAGTATATGCCACCTAGAATTAACAAATTTTGCAAGAACATAAGAGATTAATTCTTTGGACACAGGAAAATATATGGGATTTTCTTTTTTTTTAAATATACTTTTATGCTGTCTACTTGTAGGAAAGCAGGGACAATTACTCATTTTCTTACAATATCTCATATTTAGATTCAACAAAAAGAAAAGTCCATTTTACAGTTTGATAACATTTGAATATTGAGAATCTTACCTAAGAAAAATTTATTTTTCCCAATATAGTAATATTCAAGCATAAACCCAAAGAAGTAAGCATGACAAGCAGTAGTAGTAGTAGTAGTTGTGGTGATGGTTATGGTGGTGGTGGTAATAGTAGTAGTAGTAGTAGTAATGGTGGTAGTAGGCACCCCACATCTTTGGACAAGCAATGGCAGCAGCAACAGCAACAGCAATAAAGATGATGGCATATAGGGGTGGGCAGCAGTCAGAATTACTTGATGGTCACTTCTAGTCTTACCTGTCTCTAAGGGTGGCACACTGCTTACTCTTTGGGAGTCATGAGATATACTACGCAACACTTCTCGACCTAAGGGGTTAGAAAAATAAAACATAGGAAAATATGGGAAAACAAAGCATGCGACATTGTCTCGTCTGGTTCTTTGATTCTATCTTTTTTTTTTTTAAAGAAGGACATGGAATGAGTTTGTGGGGCAAGTGATATGCAGTCAGAGGTTTAGAAATGAAACTGACCAGAATAGTTAAGCATGCAAACATTGGGGATAGTGGAATTAAGAAATGGGTGTGTCCACTCTAGGGGTGGGGTATCAACAAAACAGACAACATAAAGAGAAAAGATGTTAAGAAAATAATTTTGTACAAAAAAATCTGTTACTTTGTGAAAGAGAAAAAATGTTTTATGTGTAGTGTAAATGATGTAATTTTACAAAGTTTTTTTTTTTGCATTACTTAAATATTACAACTTTTGACTCATCCATTTAACAAATGATATGAATTTATGGTGATAAAACTGAATTTTCTCAGTTTTGCATGGGATGAAATTTGAATAAATTGTTTGGTTTCTCCCCAAATATAGTTGCATTTTTGTTACTTTGAATGACATTTGAATAATTTTGATCATAATTTAAATATCAAATATTCTTGTTTTCAAATAAAACAGGAAATCTTTTTCCTTAACATCAATTTCCTGTAATTTAGTCATCAAATATTTTCCTTGATTTTCACTCCTGGAAAAAAATCTTTGGGAAAAAAAATTGGATGCCTAAATGGTTAAAATAAATGGAAAACTTTTATGATTGGATTTTTTTGAAAAGAGAGAGCAAAAAAGAAAAAGAAGGAGTGATGAAAATTCTATCTGAGAAAACTGTTTGTAAAAAAAATCCAAATTAGATTAACATACAGAAAAAGATGGAATAAAAATATTTTGATGTTTTATTGCTATCATCTTCAGCTGAAATGAAGAAGGTAATTTGTGATGAGAAATTTGTTTCTGAATTGTTAATTTGTCAATCTAATTTTGATTTCTTGTGTACAAACTTTGTAGATTAATTTTTACTATCTGTAAAACAAAAAAAAATGAAAGATTTGAAGTTTTGTTTCATTTCAAATAAATACAAACCTGCAGATAAAAGAAAAAGCACACAGATTGGATTCAGTGCTTTAGTAGCTAACTGAAGTACTACCCCATTACTGGGGTGGTGAGGCTTGTTACCATACACCCAGCTTTTAAAAAGAGAACTTAGATTTTAAATCATTGATCTTTCCATTTGTAGGCACTCAAATATTTGTAATATTCATGCCATCATAACCCATGAGCAAGAGTCAGATGGATTGTTGAAAATGAATTCCATCTGAAATGCTAGATTGATGAAGGGAAGCTAGCAAAGCAATGAAAAATAAACTGGTTGATTCTAAGTTACAAAATGAAACACATACTTAACACATTGCACATACTTTTAACACATACTTTTCATACTTAACACATTGCACATTGGTGCAATGTGTTAAGTATGAAACCTGGGTTTGAATCTTACTATCATCAATTTGTCAAGGTCACTTCTTGATGTTATCAAACTGGGAAAATAATACCAGCATTGTTGAAATGTCTGAAGCTTTTATAGTGAAATTGGGTAGACAAAACTGTTTGGAAGCTGTTGATGGTTGTGCTAGCACAAAGTCACAAGTCATTATAACTAAGGATTTGAGCATACTGGTCTTGTTTAAACTGTTGACAGATTATATGCTTTCTCTCCCAGAAACTGTAACTATGGTCTGCTCAGCATAATTTTGCAGTCTAAACCACAGGTTGGTTCAGTGGGTGTTAAAGAAACATAAATGTACATAAGGTATTTAGAAAAAGACTAGCTAGCCACCTTAACTGATAGGTGTACTCAGAAAACAAGTAGCTATTATGTATATAATGGCCAGATACTCTTGTTTTCCAAGTACATCTGTCTACTAGGGTGGCTTGTGGACACCTAAAAGCAAGGAATTTGAATACAGATATTCAAGGCAAGCTTTCACTATTAGGAAAACTGGCCCTACATAAGCTTCTAAACCACTTTTTCTCATATTTGACCTTGTGCACAACTAAGGTAAGCTTAGTAAATATTTTTGGAATCATATGGTCAAAAGTAGATTTTTAGATATTTTCTGAGTTCTGAAAAAGAAACAATAAAAAGTAACACTATAATGGCACAAAACTATCATGGTTATTTTATAAGTAAAATCGGGTAGAAGCCTAGATTCTTCAATGAGTTTTACCCAATGAAATTTGTAATATCAGTTCATTAGAGTGTAATATTTCCGAAGGGGAGACAACCCAAAACCTTAAAAAGTATACAACATATTTTTAATTTCTAATTAGCAAAGTGTATATGAGATACACTGGGAAAATAGCCATGTCACTTTGAAAGGGTTTTAAAGAAAAGTGGAATTGGAAAAAATTCCACAAAACATTTAAAATTTTTACCTTTTTATTTTTATTTTGCTATTTAATTTGATTATAAAAATAAATTACTAACTCTTTACAGGCAATTCAATTTTGGAAAGGTGCAGGTTTTTGGGACGGTGTGCTTAAAGAAGTAATTGAGCCAGACTATCAAGAGATAATAACTTAAATCAAAATTCTTTAAGAGCAATAAATAGACATCAATACAAGAAGGATACTAAAGGTAACTGAATTAGAAGAGAAAGTTTGGGTCAAAATACCATTGTATAAACAACAAAAATGAAGATGCAAGAATAAATGAATTAAAAGTAATATTAATGTAAAAAATCTTGTGTCTCTTAAGTATGTTTTTCAAATTGAAAACCTATTTGCTTGTTCAAGTAAATACTGACAGAAATAAATGTGAAAAACTTTGTGGAAATATCTGGGTTTTCCAAATATTTTGCAGAGAATATTTTTTGTCAAGGAAAAACAAAAACAAATTGTCACCTTTCAATCAAACAGTCTAAGTGAAAGAAAAACACACACAACATGTTTGAATATTATCAAAGAATATAAAAAGCACCATTTTAACAAACCAAATGACAGCAACTTAATAACAAAAAGGTCTGGTTATGTAAGGAAATAATCTTTACCCTTTATATTTGATTAAGAAGCCATATCAGATAAAAAAATATTTGTATAGAACTTGTAGAATGGACTATTTTGAAAACATTAAAAAATATTCTCTAAATTACTTGAATATTTCACCCTCTGCTGTGATTAAAGTAGAAATAATCAAAACTTGAACTCAAGATCTTCAACACTAATTACAAAATTAAAACTCTTGCTAAACCTAACTTTCTTCTTACACATTATGTAATAGCCCCCATTCTATCAGTTAACATTAGTTGTGCATTAATTCCTGATTATCAATGCATTTCTATAAAATCATTAGCAATACATTTACACTATTCATATAAATCTGTCTGACATTTGCTTTAATTCTTAACTATTGAACCTCTTTTTCTCCTTCATTTTCACTGTATAACATCCAAATTTAGTACCACCAAAACTCAATAAGACAAATTTTAAGTAAAAAATATATATGCAAAATTCAGCAATTAGTCATGAAATTCTATATTTAATGTCACAATGCTGATTTTCATTCTATCAGTCTTCTGACTGACCTTCATCTTGCAACAAAATCAACACCACCAAAAGTAGACAATTACAAATTCTTCTGTGAGTGAGGAGAGAGATAGAAATGGACCCTACCTACTCTCTAGGTATGCCTCCGAATTTAAAATTTTTTATAATTTTCAGTTTAATAGATAAATATTAAATGATCATTTTTTTTAAAATTATTAATATTATATTCATTATATCTATTTATATGCTAAATGTACCATGGAAATTTTGGTATCAGCTTATTTCTTATATGTACTTTGAGTATTTGCTGTGGAACTAAATAATTATTTATGCAGATTAAAGTTTTCATCTATTTTCTCTAGTAAACACTTTACATAAAGAACTAGCAAGTAAATGTTAAACCGTGGCCTTTTTTATTATTAACTTAAGTCTTATATTTTTTATTATTAATGTAAGAAAGTCTTAGATATTATTAATACAAGTTTGTTTTGGTGGTATTAATTTGATTATTATTTCAAATGATTATTATTATAATGAAGTTATGTCAGTTAAATGATAACATGAGACTTGAATCTTCGTTACTTAACATTACATTTTATTCATCTCCTGATTTTTATTTTACTGAAATACAATATTTGAATTTCTATAAAACAAAAAGTATGTTGCTTTTTGATCTTTAGTAAAACACAATTTTTATAAAGGATATCAGCCAAGAATAAGGCCAAGGATTCTGATTATTTCAATGGGTGGGTGTTGAACTAATAGATATTTATATTCTTATTACTAGGATTAATGCACCTTGCTGATAGATGTTATATTTCAGCACCTCAACTCATAATTGTTCAGGTTTCAACAATTGATAGTGGATTTTCTCATTATTTTTTAATTTTAATGCTAAGTTTGATGTAATTAATTTCTGCACTAAGTGGAATGCTACTATTATTGGGGTTGGGTTGATATGTGCATATAGTGGATACACTAAATATAAAGTTTATAGTAATAAGAAATAAGAATGTTGCATTATATATAAAATCTATTAACTCCTTAGAAATTAGTTTGCTTATGTTTTAGATATGAAAATATAATTAGCAGATATTGGCTTTGAAAGATCCCAAGAGATATGCATTTTTTAAAAAGGTATTTGAACATTACTGTGAAAGTCTTCCATAGCTCAACAGGACACTTGTATTGAAGGTGATTACCCCAATACAAGGGGAATGTAGGCTTTATTAAAACTCTTGGATGACCATGCTGGTAGATGTCAATTTCACTCTTTAAAAAAACAGATGTCTATTCAAAGATGTGTATCCACTAAATATGTTTATAGTAGTAAAAAATAATGTTGGATTATAAATAAAATCCATTAATTCCTGAGAAATTATATTTATATTAAGTAAAAATTATACTTTGCATCAAGTATATAAAAAATTGTAACATTATAATGTACATATGATACAATCATTTTAAAGATATTTATAATTGCCACTTTAGGAAATTAGGATTTTATCAAATAAAGGAAAATATAGAGTAAATTTGGCCATTAATTTTACTTTTGCAATATATGCAAATCTATAAAAAAAAGCCTTATAGCAATTGCATCAAAGTGTTTGATTTGTAAATTCTTAGAAGTTATGTTTGTCATTACCATGGGGTGACTATAATGCTCAATTTCTTTCATTTTAAATAATAATCTCTCCAAAATGTGTTATGATTTGTAACACTTTCAATTAAAATTACTCTCCTTAAGTGAAAAAAAAGAATAAATAAATAAACAGCAGTAAAAGCTTTAAAAATTTGAGTGACTTGTAAACAGTCTTGATAATGATTTTTAAAATTTGTAACAAAATATTGTTAGTTTCAAACTGGGAAAAGGAAAATAAAAAAAATCTCCTGATAAAAAATTGCCTCTGAAGAAAGATGTGAAAAGTTTTATTTCTGTGAGAACCAACCTGATGGAGGCTCAGAGCAGAGACCTGTGAATCCAGTTCCCAGGGCCACAGCAGAAGGGAGTTCCGTATGGGTCTTCCACATAATAGATTGTTGAGAGGTTGGCACCAAGAAACGGCTGTAGGAAATATCCTGCTGTAAGTAATAAAAAAAAATAAAATATGGCTTATTTAATCTGAGATAATGGCAACATTAGCTTTTTCATAACTACAATTAGAATGAATATTCACTCTATTATTAAAACAAGTCTATAAATACAGATGTTATTAACATTTTAGGCTTTGTCTAGAACAAAAGTCCCCAAACTTTTTTGACTGACCTCTTCAGGGGATGACTGACCTTTTTTGACTTCTTAATTTTTTTAAATTAATAAAATTCTATAAGTTGGAGACTAATTAAAGCTATATACAGTGTGGTGCAGATAAATCTGGAATTTTTATGTGATAACAGCGCCGTGACATCACAGCATAGCACAATTTTGAAAGTACTACACCTCAGTAGCTGTCTAGCTATTGATGCTTAGTAATCAACATGTATTCAGAATTTGATCATTGAGCTGTTGTTGTGGAAAGTCTTAATGCCATTCACAAAGCCAAAGAAATCATTGAATGGTTTAAATACCCTAAAATCATGGCCGACCTTGCAAAGGCATATGGGACCTCAGACAACAAGGACAATTTCAGGCCAGAACACAAGACTCATAAGGAGCATTCTGGCACCCTGATGGTGTCAGAGTTTGCCACCAACCTTAGCAAAAGCATATGGAAAATCACCAAGGAAATGAGCACTAGCAGGTGAACAATTGGGCATATTATCAAGAAGGACTTGAATTACAAATCTTGTATTCAAGAGATGCCACTTACCATACCATACTGACATGGCCCACTTGAATGCCTGACTGCAATCCTCCCTACTATTTTGTTTGGGGGTTCTTGGCAAGGGAGGTGAACAGAAGGCTCTACAATACCAAGGAGGCTCTCAAGGCAGCCATCAGGTAAGCCATGGCCAATATTGACAGGAACACCATCACCAAGGCCTGCTCCAGCTTCTGGTTCTTCCTGGAGAAAGTGGTGGTTGCTGATGGTGGCCACATCAAGTAATTTTTGTACCTTATATATGTGCCTAACTCTGTATAAAGTTTCATTGAAATATATTAAATTTTTATATAAAAAACAGTTTTTATTATCCATTAATTTTTGTCAGATTTATCTGCACCGCACTGTATAATAATAGTAAGATATTACAAAATTTAATAAATGTAATTGTGATTTTATTTATTGATTGTCTGACCTCTTTCATAAATAAAAAAATAAAGGAAGGATTTATTACATTTCGTAATATTTTACTATTAATGTATATATTTTTAATTATTCTACAACTTATAATTTTTTTATTGATTGAGACCTCTTTAATGTGAATGTGTGGGTAGTGCAATGGTTATTGGTACAGAAAGTGAAATTGGTGAGTTGAGTTCAAATTCCAGCAGAGTCAGTTGTGTTCATTTTCACACAAATTCCCTTGTAAAAGGTATGATTCTATCTCTCCACTCCCAGCTGTGAATTAAACAGCAGAGTAGACTGAGCTCTTTAGCTTTAGGTGGCAACCAATCTAAGAAAGAAAACTCAGAATTCCAAAACAGGAAAATACCCCACTATCTTTCATAAGAAAGCATGGCAATTTACAGATAATAAAAAAAAAAAGGAATTTGTAGAAAGTTGTGATCATTTATGCCCTGAAAGGACAAGGTATTAAAAAAAATACCTCTTTAATAGTAAGGATGTGGTTGATCTTTCAGAAGAGCACTGATATTTAGTTTTAAATCTGTGAGTTTTCATCTTAATTTACCACATATTTCTATGTTCTGTTTGTTGCTTTTCTTTGCAGGAAATGAATTCATATTGTTAAAACCAGACAGTCAGTTATGTGCCATGCATGATACATGCTTAGGCGATCATGTATCTTTTCGATACATGACTGATGAGGCAGATTTTTTCCTGCAGTAAGTTGCCATTTCTTTCTGTGGTAAACCAGTTGCCATCTAAGGCTATATAACCCGGTCTGTCCTGCTATTTACCCATAGCTGAAGGGAGAAGAGGATTCATACCTTTCCCAAGGGTATTAGCATGTAAGTGACTGGAATTCAAACTCAGCTCTTCGATTCCTCAATCTGAGCTGCTATCCATTACTCCAACCAAATAGGAACTTTGAAATTCAATTAAAAACAGGTCCACGTCTGCATAAAGTTTGGGATATTTGGTGACAATATTTACAGTGTAATATGTTTGAACAGTGATTTAACTTTGGAATTCATGTGCAGTTCAAGAAGTCCATCTTGTAGATTAGATTCATTTTCCAGTTTTGAATTAAATGTTGGAACAACTCAGTCAGATATGCACATTTTCTCCAAATCCTCAAAGTGCACTTTAAAGTCTACAGCCACAAGATGCTTCATACAGATATTCAAGTCATCAACAGGAATAACTTGGCTATCATATTCCATTATAAAAATAGTGAAAATCTCTTTGTGGTAATGATGATTTAAAAAGGTCTATTTTGAATTGGAAGCTTAACAGGATTGATCAAGCTTGAATAATTGTTAAACCTTTGTCTAATAAAAGAGTCTGTAAATTGTAAAATTTGGAATATAGGTCTTCCAAATAGAAAAGAGGGTTCATCTTATTTTTCAAATCTTGAATCCCCACCTGTAAGAAACTCAGTAGATGAGTTATATAATTTGACAAGCCTTTGCAAGCTAAAACCTCTTGACAACCACCTGACTTCAGTAAGTAACAGCAATTAGTTGACCATTTCATCATTCTTTTTCACATGTGCATGTGCTTTAATTTTTATCAATTTATCAATCTGATAGAGTATTATACAAGTTATTGAGTTTTTGTCTGTATAATATAAATTAAATAGTGTGCACATTGGGGACGTTTTCCTTAAGGCAGCAAATTCTCTATAACGGCCAACTATTGAAGGTGCACCTTCAATGGCCATTGCAATGATATTGCTGAGTGGAATATTGTGCTTGTTTAAATATTCCCCCAAGCATTCAAAAATCATTACCAGGCTTTTGCATTGTGATGTAATGGAATAACCTGTCACCCCCAAAAGTAACTACACTATAGGTAGTAACTACCTATAAGTATCTGTAAGTCAACGGACTACAGAGACTAGCTGGTATCTGTTGAGTACAACTCTGACTTATGCGAGAACTACCGACCTTCCAATAGTAGCAATCACTACTGGATTGACTTGTGATGACCTTGTGCATAACTGCTGTTACCTTTATTCTTATTGTACTGGTTATTACAATAAACCTTTACTTATTTTATCCACCTTGTTTTTCAAGTATATATTCCTATTAGCACAGAATATAACACATTGTATTTAAAATAATTTGTAAACAAAAACCTCTGAATAATTTGGTTTTGGGGTTTCACTACAATACGCCATGAAGATGTTTGAATTATCATCAAATTGAAAAATAGAAAACTTACAATGTCTAAGCTCAAATACCTAAGCTTTTTTCAAGATTTTCAGCCATTTTATCAATGTCTTTGCATTTTATATGCAAGGATTTTAAAACAGGACCAGAAACTTTTTTTCATCACAGCTTTAATCATTTTTTTAATTGAAAATATTATAATCTCTGCAATAGTTTGTGGGGGGTCTTTATTTTGTGAGGTTTAAGGAAATATTGTATAAGACCATTAACTCACTTCTAAGCAGAGGCTTTAATAAATTAAATAAGACATAATAATAAATCCTAAGGGGAAAAAAAAAAAAAAAGAAAATTTTAATATTTTTATAAGAGTAAATTATTTGAAAGTGGCCTTTCATCATTGCAGGTTTTATAGCGTTATTACGAAGATCATTTAACATTGGAAAGCAAATAGGCTTTATTTCATTTGATGGTAAAGGTATAAATCCAAATTTCAAATATCCAATTTTGGGATCTGTTGCAGCTATAATGATTGTTAGGTTTGTAGCTAAATAATAATAAATGAATTGAGTCAACTAGCCACAATAAGCACAGATCAATGTTTTAAAATTTCAAAACACAAGCAAATGCAAAAAAAAGAGTATATACCATAAAATAGAAAAAAGCTATTTATTTTCACTTAAAACGAGAGGATTTTTCATGTAGTTCATTCTTTTAAAGAGATAATAAACAAAACAAATATTGTCTTTTGATTTACCATATGTATGTAGTGAAATTTCTTTGGAAAAAATTCAACCATTGCAATTTCATCACCATCTGTTGGATATCTACTAAAGTATGCAATGAGGAGATGTTGATATGGTTCTGTATCACGAATTCCAATTAACCCTTAAGTAATTTTGAATGGCCTAAAATGTTTTATTGACTTCTGAGTATCAATATCAAACACTTTGGGAAACCTATTCTGGAAAGTAGAACTCCTTATGTTGATGAATTTGTTATGACTATGTTTTATATGATCTATTCAGTAGTCTTCTACAGGTTGATAATTTGAAAGGAAAGATAGGAGTCTCTTTTTTATGAAATAAAATGTCAACACCTGAAGAAGGCTGTAGAATGGATTGGATAAAATGTGATGTGGTAACAATACAAAGAAGATCAAAGATTTGTCTGATGAAAATCAATTGTGATAATTCTACAATATGAAAATATTTCTTCACAGAGGTTTGGCATAAATTTCATGTAAAATGACTTGTAATTATTTCATATTTTTTAAAAAAGTATTTTTTTCATTTTGCAGTAAATTTGAACAAGTTCTGTAACTTTGTAGAAAATTCAAACTTGTATCTTTTATTAGTGGAACTTGTTATGCCATGTAGGAACACTTATAACCTCTCAGCTACTAAAGTGATTAATAGTAAGTAAAACAACATACTGACAAAAATATTTTGATAAAAAATATACAACAAAAAGATTAAAATATTAGTCAAAGCTTCATCTCAGATAATTTTAAATTACTGCTCTTAGTTTGTAATTATTTAATCTAGCCTGCAAATTCTTTTCTCTGAGCAGCATTAGAATTTGAGGCTTTGATCTGTTAACTATCCCAATTGTAAAGGTGGTGATATGCATTTAAAAAAATATTGGGTGACTAATATTTTAAGAACTGGTGTCTGCTGTCTGAAGTTTTGAAAACTTTTGACTTGTATATTCATAAATGTTGCTTGATGTTGTGAGACAAACTCTTTCCATTATTACACATGTTTATAAATATCTTCATTTTTTCATTATTATCATATTTGTCTTTAATGTATTAAAGAAAAACATTGCAAGAAGATGAAATTACAAATAAAGAAAATGCATGGAATAATGAAAGAAATACCTCTCAGAAATTCAGACAACATTTATGAAGCTCCTAGTTAGTTTAATGGGTAGAATAATAAAAAAACTTAATCTTAAAACTTCAGACAACAAACAGTTCCAAATCTAGTTTCTAACAGTGTTTGACATTTTATATTAATCATATCAACTAACAATAGACAATGTCTCAGTTGGTGCTGAACACCAACTATTTCTTTATTCCATAAATTATCAGACAGCAAAAAAAGGCTTGACATGGAATGCCATGTAATTCATCATAAGCAGTGAAAATGTGTTGGCTTAATTGGTACCTCTCAAAAGAGATGGTAATATATTTTATGTTAAATAATAAACAGGATTTATAATTTCCATATTTTATAATTAAGAACAGCCTATTTTTTTACATTAAAAGCTGACCATTTATAATTGAATATATACAGAATATGAGTCTCATCTGTCATGACATCAATTTATCAATTATACATATAATAGTTCTATTCTATCAATAATACTTCCGTTAATTCCTGGCCACTGACAATTTTTTTTCTGATTTTCAATGCATTTTATAGCGAAACCATTAGTAATACACTTACATTATACATTATAATAGCCCTAATCTGTCAGTAATGTTTGCATTAATCCCTGGCCACTGATAATCTTTCTTCTTGATTTTTTAGTAAAAGATATAAAGATTGATTGCTAAAACAAATTTTATATAAAATTGTAATATTTGAGTTTTAAACATCTATTTTCTCTACAATAAAAATTTACTTTGTTTTTAAATATATAATCATTAAAGTGAATGGAAGTTTTGATACTTTTTAATAAATCCTACCTATGATATCATGTGCAATATAATTAGTTATTTCTTTAAATTGATATAAGTATTACAGAATCTAAATTCTTGAATATCTAAATAGTAAGAATAAATATAACAGATGACATTTTAAAATAGTTGTTAATACTTAATAGTGAAAACCTCTGTGGAAGGTGTGCTTTTTTCGCCCCCTCTCTCTCCGAGCTACAAACCTTCTACAGGATGGGTCAATTTAAATTCGCAGGTGGACCACTAAATTACAGATTCAACTTACCTGTCCTTCCACCTTATCAATTATGTCAAGATTGAATGTGTCATAGTTGCAGGTGGAAGCACGTTGTCCTGAAGGATGTCGCATGCGCAAATCATCTTGATAAAGCTCTGGTCTGAAAGGAGAAATATCACTAAATCATTGGACAAAAAAAACAATAATTTTACACAACCTCAACACCAAAACAGTAATCAAGTGGAGAAATTTAAAAGAAAAAAAAAACAAACTCCTATTTAATTATGTAACCTAGTGAAGTTTCACCACAAAAACACAAAATGAATTAAATATAGTTGTGAACTGACATAAACCAATATTTAAATAAGGAAAATATCACAAAAGCAAAAAGAAAAAAATTGTCTTAAATGTCTCCTTAACTGCTACATATATTGTTAATGAAAGTATAATTGGTGTCATGATTATGGGTGAATGTTATAATTATTTACTAAATTTATCTTAGTCTGGCTCAAGGTCAAAGTAAAAGAGTATTAGGTAAGAATCAACACGCTATGTTAATAATAATAATAATCTGTGAGGCTGCCTCATGGACTATTACATTATGGCAAGTATATAAAATAATAAGCAATTGGTATTAGCCCTAGGATTACATTGTTGGTGACTAATTTATACACACCTAAAATTACAAATATATTTTTTGCAGGTGGAGGTTTGATAAAAGAAATGAAGTCAAGTCTGTTCAATCACGTTTCTTATTTAGATAAAGTTGACTTGGTTCATGAGAAAGAGTCAGTTTTGCCAAAAAAGCCAACAAGTGAGCTTCTAGTAGGTCAGACCATTAGTCTTTCTACCATGTTGGTGTGAAGCAAGCTTGATGAACAGAGGACTAAATGAGTTTTGATGTTAAAGTTTTCATTGTGTTTCTCAAAGTGCTCATGAGAAAAATTTTCCAAATGTTATCAAATCTTCAAAGAAGTAAAAGACACAAGTCAATCTTTAATAATCATTTTTTAATTTAGTTTTACAACCATGATTCCTTAGTTCCACCAGTTCAGACCTTCACAGGTAGGACCCACCATGTTACATACACAGGATTGACTAATCTTCATTCCCTTTGTACTCCTTTGGTAAGGAAGAAATTCCACTCAAACAGCTTCTTCCCCCATAACTGTCATTTTGTGGAACAGATTCCAGAGAGTATTCTTCCCTGATCACTACAAATTTAACCTCTTCAAGTCTAGGGACAACAATGATCTTTCCTACATATACTCATAATGTATACTTCTTACTTCCTCCCTTTATGACCTTACAACAGCCTCATTTAGTAACTCTCTCCCTTAAGTGACTTAAGTGACTCTTGAGCCATGTTTAGTTGAAAAAAAAAAGATTGATGACACTATGTGTAAGCTATTTTACCATTTGTTAGCCAGTTGATATAATTTTCATAAAAATCCATAACTTTCTATATTTTTAGAAAACCAGAAGGAATGATGAAGAGATAAACTTGACTATAAATTTATTCTGGCAGACAAATTAACTGTGCAAACAGAGCTGCCACTAGAATTGCACCAAGTGTGTCTGTTGGTCTGAAACACTATTTTTATAATGAAACTTCCAAAATGGAGAAGTCAGGTTTCCTCTGGGTCCCCTGTTATTTTTATTATAGAAACAGGGACAAAAAGATAAGTATTTAACATGTTACAAACATATTACCACTGAAGAGAATACTTGCTTTTATATCTTTATATAACACAAATATTTTGATTTAAAAACAAAAAATTACCATTAATTTTAGGGAAAAAAGAGGCTTTGATATTATTTACAGTGAGATAAAAAAGTTATGTAATTACCTTGTAAATGTCAGCTGGTAAATCAGCAACATTTTAACACATTGACTACCAAACATGAGTTTGCCAACCACAAGTTAACAAAGTTGGCAGGTTTTATTATAATGCCAACTATGAGTTATCTCATGCTTGGTATTTTCTGATATATTTTCATTTGAAAGCACCCGAAAAACAAGTTGATTCACAGTAATACTTTTAGTGTGAAAACCAGGTTAAGACTTCAGTTGAAGTTATAAATCAACTCAAAAAAATTTTTATTGCCTAAGTTGGCTATTATAAAGTTGGTGATGGAAGTCAGATTTTGTATTTGACTCCTTGCAGTCAGCATGTTAAGAGTACTGTAAATTTTATTTTCTCATTTATTAACCTGCAGATAACAAAATCGAATTTCTACTCTTTTTAGTGACAGTCTCTATAGGCATGTGAAAGCAATCAAAGTTAAATGATTGCTTTCCTTATACAGTATTTCATAATATAGAAAACCTCATGAACAAATTTGTCTGGGCATTTCTAGATAGAATGGGATTAAACTTGCAGAGATTGTGAATGTATTTTTAAAATAATTTTGAGAAAGCAAACTATGGCAAAGAGAAACAATTTTTCCATTTGCCAGAGGTTAGTAAGTCAAAGCATGCAACCAACACAAGGTAAACACTTACCATGAAAAGTACAAGCTCCATTACCTTACAGGTGATCTTATCAAGCTGGGGGGAGAGAGGATTTATAAGCAAGACTGTAAAATTCAATTAGCTAATTACACAATTTAAAAGGGGAGGTAAAAGTGTTAATGCATGAGGTGGTTGTTGCATTTTTAGTGAAATATTTTTTATAGGAATTTCCACAGCAAAGGTTTCATTTTCACCTTTACACTATTATCGGTAACCTATCAACAATGCCTAATTTGGTGGAGTAAAAGTTTTATCAGCAAGTGATTTACTTTTTTAACAAAAAGCAGAAAGATATAAATTTTATTATTCAAATTATATATATATATATAAAATAAATAAATAAAAGAAAATGAATGAATTCTTTTAATCTGATATTATTTCTTATTAATACTGGACTCTCTTCTTGCTTTTTGACATATGAGGCTACAGCAACTCAGTTCTTAGAACCGAACAGTCAGACTACTTGCACATATGATGATTATAGTGGTGAAGGCTTGTACAGAACCAACCAGAAGGTTCATAAACAAAACTCCCTCAGGTTTTGAATTCAGATTTGTCCTTCTAGACTATAGGACCTAGTCTGTCCTGCTGTGTACCCATAGCTGGGGGAGAAGAGGGATTCATACCTTTCACAAGGGTATTTGCACATAAGTGAATGTAACGAACTTGACTGGAATTTGAACTTGGCTCTCTGATTTCTCAATCTGAGCTGCTATCCATTACACCACCATGCCTCCATATTACTATGAAATAGTAATAAGAAATAATGTTGGATAAAAATTAATAGATTAATCAATTAATGGATTAAAATAAGCAATTAATGTCAGTTGTTTTTAATCTGACATTAGATCTTATTATAAAATAGTAATAAGAAATAATGTTGATTTAAAAAAAAATCAATGGATTAATCAATTAATGGATTAAAAAATTACACTAATCACTTAAATTGCTTTTAAGTTTTGGGTACAAAAATATAAGTTAGACACCGGAACGTCCCAATGAGAGATGTACATTTCTTGAAAAGAGTAATTGAGCCTTGCCTTGTTGTAAGGAGCCCCATGGCTGAAATGATAACAGCACACCTGGCTAAAAGGTGGTTTTCCAGATAAAGAGAATGCAGGTTCAATTCCTGCTGAGAGGTACATTTTCCTTAATAAGATTTTGATGATCTTGGATGGTAGATGCTAATTTCACTGTTTAAAAAAAACAAAAAAAAAACAGGGATGTCTACTGAAATATGTGTACCCATTAAAATAACCTTTATAGTAAATATATATATATATATATATATATATATATATATATATACGTGTGTGTGTGTGTGTGTGTGTGTGTGTGCATTGCAAGCTATAGGAAGCCATGTAGTATTTAGAAATAAGGTTAATGTAGACTGACAGATTTCTGCAAATGACCTCCCAATTCGCAATGAGAATTTTAATTGTGTCATACTGTATAAATATGCAAGAGTCAGTAAAAAAGTGGATCTGAAAATCAAATCAGATGAAATTTTCTGACTATAGATATTACTTACATGATAGAAGGTAAGGTAAATTATTGCTGCAATATTTCAGAGAATAGGGAATGTTTAAAAAAAAAATCATAGCTAAAGACAAAAGCTATTCTTAATAAATGATTTCTTTAAATATCACATACTGAACTGTTAACTTGTTGAGGTCATTTCAATGCTATTATTAACTCATTAATTATCAAGCTGATTAATGCTGATAATTAACATTAATAGCAAAAAAAATCATGTCACTATTTTTGCTTCTAATTTCATGGAGAAAAAAATAAAAATAAATAAAGATTGTTAATTTAAAATTTAAAAATTATTTGTGACACAAAAACAGAACTAAGAGGGATTTCATTTTAGATATAATGTACTTGACAAAGTACACAGAGCACAAATCATGAGCTTTTGATTTCAATTCTTGGTATGTCTACTCAGTATATGATCTCAGTTTGAATGTTTGTAAAATTTCCATTACCAAAATCTTTGGAATAAACGTCAGCCTACAGAGTGGTCATGAGTAATACTTACTTAGATCCTTGTTGATTGACCTTGCTGTAAGGTATCACAGAATATATGGCGAGGGGAACCTTGGTGTGACTGACTAATAAAACTCTGTAATGAAGGAAAACATATGCCACACAGGTCACAAGGCAGGAAGGAGAGAACTGAACACAGAAATTAAAACAAAATCTTTTTTTTAAAAACAAACACATATCAGCACAAATATTTTGAGATGAAAAAGTGTTAGAGGAAAAAACAAAGCTTTTAAAATGTATTTAATTGAATAGCAGAAAAGGATGTTCTTACTTAGAAAATCTAACTGATCAACATTTGATAGAATTTAAATTTCACACTCATTGGAAGAGTTACAAATCAAACATTCCCTATTAAAAATCTGAACTATTACTACACAACCCTGCACTTCTTATGTTTTTTAGATGTTTGAATAATAATTTTAAATCAATTTTCTAAGTTACTTGTTTTTAAAGATCTGGATTCTTTTTAAAACTGGTATATCAGAGAGCAGTTGACTTCAAGGGTGACATGAAATTTAAGCTGCATTTTAAAAATGCAATTTATGCAAATTAAATTAAATATATGTCATTCTTAAGAATATTTAAAAGTGACAGGTCAGAGTAAATAAAAAAGAAAGTGTAGGAATCAAAGGAGTAGTTAAATTTATTTTATCTTTAGAAGTGATGTATTTTTATAGTGGGCCACTGACCTGAGTAGCTTGTGTGAATGGTTAGTGGAGCAGAAAGTGGGATGTATGGCAAAAAGTCAAACATTACTACAAGAGATAGGAAGTTGTGGAAAGCCACAATCGCTTACATCCTGAAGGGACACAGCACAAAGAAGAAGAATTTAAGTTATTGCTTTTTGATTCAGTTATTACTTGTTGCTTTATTTCATTTCTAAAAGTTTCCTATACATGGCGGTAGCTGACTCCTAATTAACTACAAAAGAATTAGCATACATGCTGCTGTTTTCAATATACAGAGACTGGATTTTTCAATTCTTATTGCAGTTATATTTTATATGTTATAGATATGTTCATCTTTGCCCCAGACAACTTGACCCTTTCTCATTATTATATGGGTTAAAGCAGCTAAATGAGTATTAGCAGAATTAACATCTGAAAACATTATGACCCCAGCTACCAAAAAACATTATACAGGAGCTAACATACCAGTCTGTTGTTAGCATCTAAGATTAGACAGTCTGGTAGAGGATAAAAGGTTAGAAAAAGCCTTGCACTTCTTATTTCTGAGAAGAAGGAACAAAGGAAAATGGTGGATATAATAACAAAGTCATTCAGGAAAGGAAAAAACAGAAAAAAATATTAGAAGAAACTCAGAGAACTAAGTCAATAATTTTTAAGTGAAAACTAGAAAAATAAAGCATTTTTCATTAAAATTCAAACCAATGCAAAAAAGCAAAAATAAAATAAAAATGAAAAACTAAAAATACAAACAAAAAATTGCATGGTATAGTTTCACTGAATTTCATATTTTAGAGACATGTTACTGTTAACAATAGTACTAATCTTATTAAAACTACAAAAAAAATTAAAAGCACAACAAAAAGAAAATTTGAATGAATTAGTTGCAATCACAATCCAAAATATTTTCTGTACATATGACAATATCTACTGTATATATAATTGTGTACTATATTTTGTATAAAAAAAAATCATATAACCTAAGTATAATCCCCACTTGGCTGGCATGGAAAGAGTGACATGATCAGATTTTAGTTTGTGTAATGTATCAATCTTATCAAGAAGACGATTTTAGAAGCCAATGTGAACCACAAGCTTGAATGTATTTGACTGCATAAAAAGGAGTAAAGATGAAAGTTTCTGCCAGAAAAAAATTGCTATCTATATACATAGAATAGTCAAAAAAATAAACAATAAATATTTAGATATGCAGTAGTTGCATATTTACAAGTGTTTTAGAGTAAATCCAATGTACATGCAGCAAAACCTTGATTTAAAAAACTAATTGGATAGAGAATGTGTTTCTTAAATACAATAAATCCCTCATTTTATAAATAAGGAGCAAGTTCTGTGCACTCACTAAATGATCACTGACAGCAGTCATTTACTATAAACAAGCAGCCTTGGCTACATATTAAACAACCCGAAACATTCAGATGGATGTCTTTCTCACTTTATTTCTCTCTCTCTCTCTCTCACACACACACGCACACACACAATGTTGCAAAGTAGAGTTTATTTATAGTTAAAACAGTCTTTAAAAATAGCTGAAATCAGCAAAATTTTTAATTTCTAGTTAACTTTATAGCTAAGAAGATGTACCTTTACCTTAATACAGACTTGATGAATGATTTATTCTAGCATTTAACTAAGTTTGTTCAGTAAAAATAAAAAGTATCTGTTCTCCTGTATGGTAGTGAGTGCTGGACAATCTACTTGAAGATGAAGAGACTTGAAGCAACAGAAATGTGGTTCTACAGAAGGATGCTGAAGATACCATGGACCAAGTATGTGAGTAATGAAGTTTTAGAGAAAATGGAAACAAAAAAGAAACTTATTAGGAAGAGACAGTTGAGGCTTCTAGGGCATATAATGAGGAAGGAGGATTTGGAAAATCTGATACTCACAAGACAGATTGAAGACCAGAGAGACAGAGGAAAACAGCACATGACTTACTTAGTGAGCCTGAGTAAGTGAATGATGAAATAGGGTTTAGGAGAAATAAAAGAAAGACAAAATTTATTAAGAGCTACAAGGGACAGTAAGTTGTGAAGAGCCATGATCAGCTACATTCTGGTGGGTACAGCACATATAGCAGAATAAAATCCATGAGTGGTCCCTTAAATCAAGGTTTTATTGCATTAGTTACTTTGTTGATAAAACTAAAGAAAATTGCCAAAATATCAAAAGTGTGTATAATACAAATATCTATTTTGATTTTTTCTCCTGATGAAAACTTTCTTTTATTGAATATAAACACAGTACTTGAATTAAGGGAGAAAAACAGTTTACTATTTTACTGTGACTTGCTTTTTATGGATATCTGCTTTTATTTAAAAATTAGTGAAACATGTGGACATTTTTTTATATTTGTTTCCTATAACTATAAAATATTATTGATGCTGTAAATAGATTGGAAACACATTTTAAATAAATAATTGACCAAATAAATATTAAGAGAAAATGTTGAAAAGAAATGAGAAATATTTAAACTTTCCTGTAGATACAAAAATATCTATTGCTAAAAGCAGAAATAGTTTGGACTGTGCATGTCATCCAAATAATCCAATAAAAGAAACATCATTATTATCAATAGCAATAATAATAATAATAATTAAAAAAAATTGAAATAGTCTGCTATTTGATATAAACTTTGAACACTGAGAAATTCTTATTCTAAAAATACATGCAAAGTTATTGGAAATAACCTAATCTCAGCCAATGAATTTCCAAAGACAAAATTCAGCCATTTTATGTTTATTATTTATTTATTTTTACTTAGAAAGTAAAGTTCATAGCATTTTCTTTCTTTTTAATTATGAGTTTTTTTTTTTCTAATTGATCACAGTGCATTGTTTTAAATTAGGGAGATATTCAGTAGCTGCTGGGGAAGGAGGCCATTTTATGTGCAAGAAGTCACATGACTAAAAAAAAAAAATGTAAAATATTTTTTTGGCAGATATTTTGTGAATTTGGTAACTAGCAAATAAATTCTCAGTCCATTTTTTAAAATTCTCTCAACCAATCTTCAGTATATATACACTGTAGTGTATATCTATGCCTATTTGTATATAGTGCATATTTGTGTCTACTATAAAATATATAATAGAAAAATTAATCATAAATTAAATCTCTGAATGTTTGAAGCATCAATTAAATCTCTGAATGTTTTAACCAACAAAAAGTTCTTTGTTTATATTTTATTTATTAATTTTTTTACTTTAGTTCAAACCATTTCTTTGTCTTCCAGGCAAAGCCTGAACATAAAATGTTCAATGTTTTCTGAACATTTTTGGTTTACATAAACCACTATCAAATAACTTTTTCTGAATTGAAAAGGGTTAGCCATTGTGTGATTTTTGAATGTTGCATCTTTTCATGTTAGTGGGTTTTTCAAGTATTGAAGCTTCACAAAACACTTTCATTGGATTTTAACCAAATGTGCATTATATATATATATATATATATATATATACACACACACACAAACACACACACATTCACAGGGTGTGTAGCATATTTGAGGACAAACCAATTTTGTGTTATTACTTTGACACTAATGTTTTTGTTTTTTTTTTTCAGGTAAATAATGGCAGATAACCAGATTGTAAAGTTTCTAAAAGTCACCAAATTTTTGTTCGCAAAGTTCAGAAGGACCTGGAAGCCTCTGACAGGAATGTTTCACCAGTAGTTAAGCAAATAAAATATTCTTTGTAGTTACACCATTAGAACACCTCAATTCATATGACACGCTCAGAACATCATTAATGAGAATCCTAGAAAATCAATGTGGATGATTGCAAAAGATATATCCAGGTGTCAGAGGAAACAATCAGAACTGTGGTTCATGAAGACATCCAATACAAGTTGTACATGATGTGGATAGGGCATATCATATCTGAATGAATGCATGGAAATTGATTGATCTGCTCGAAGCAGTTGCTTAACAAGGTTAAAAACCCAGAACATAGAATGTTTTGGTTTTTCTCAGATGAAAAGAACTTTGATAAGGACCAAAAGATGAACAGGAGAAATAACAGGATATGCAAACCCTTTCAATGTCCCAACAGCTATGCACCTCAAGTTTCCAGAAACTGATGTCTGGAGTAATGAGTAGTGAGGGACATCATGCCTCTCTCACTTTTTCATAATTTAATGATGCTGGTTTCAAAAATTGGTTAAAACTTTGAGTACACAGTGGAAGTCTGTAACTGTTTCAAAAAGACTCTGCACCTCCTCATAAAGCTGAAGTGACCCAAGAATGGATGGCTGATAATTTTCATGATCATGTAATCGCTAACATTTGATGTTCAAACTCACCTATTCTTAATCCTCTGGATTACTACGTGTGGAGCATTGTTGGGAGAAAGGTTAATTGATATCCCTATAATACCAAGGATTCTCTGAAGGCTGCCATTGTAAAGACAGTATCTGAAATAAACAATGCCCATTTGATTCAGGTATGATAATATTTCCAATCCTGCATCAAAGCTGTCATTTGATGCTGAGAGTGGATATATTAAATAAACCTGTTATGAAGCTACTCAAGTTCATGTGTACAAATTTTTATGACAATAAAGCTGTATTTTGTTGATTTTCCTATATTTATTCTTGAATACCTTACACACCCTGTGTGTGTGTGTGTGTGTGTGTATATATATATATATATATATATATATATATATATATATATATATATATGAAAGTGTTATAAAGCTTGACTCACTTCCCAAAATTTGATGAAATGACCAGACATTATATATATATAGTGGTAACACACACATACACACATATATATATCCTATTCCAACAACAGCACCAACAAAAATGGGTAGCACATGTATTACAAGGAGAAAATAATGGTATACTGAAGATATTGATTTTCCACAGCCTTAAACAAAAGGTTTGATGGGTAACTTCTCGCAATACCAAAAAGTATGAAAATGATAATGAACATGAGAAGCTTAATTTCTTGAAAAATTATTTTAAGAAAAAGATTTTATGAATTTCATTAGTAATGCTAACTGTTTGATTAATGAATGGTAAATGTTTCCTGTATGGAAACGGCTTATTTCACCATTACCATTTTGTCAGTATTGCCTTAACTCCTGTCCCATCTTTTTCCTTCATGATTTTCAATGTGCAACATACAGACTGAATGCTAAAATGTTTTAAAACAAATTTTGAGTTGAAAATTTAAAAACTTGTTACTTCAAATATTTCCTCTTACTGCAGAAAATGATAAAATCTAAATGCAAGTAGTGGTAATGGTAATATTAGCCATTTCCTTATAAGAAAACAGTTGGCCAGTGCTGTTGTTGGTTGAAATTATAAAATCTTTCTTCTAAAACAATTTTAGGTTTCTCATGCCCAGTACCTGTTACTCTTTCCAGTATTGATGGAGGCTTTCTTCCTAACCTTTGATTTGAAGTAGTCTGGGACATCATCTTGATTATGCCATGTTTACATGTGAAATTACATGCTGCTGTTGAAAGCCTTCAAGTGATGTGGTTTATGTTACCTGGTACATTTCTTTGTAATTCTGTAGCACCAGTCCACAATGCTTGAAGAAGGATGGTCTTCACCAAGATCCATAGGTTTCACTCACTCAAAGCCATTTTTAACCATTGATCTGAGAAAGTGGTCGTATACAACAGTTTAGATATTTCTTAATGGTTTGCCACCATCTATGACAGCCATATGAAATTATTGATCTGATAAGGCTATTTAAGAACATAACTTCAGTTTTCATGTTAATGTTTTGCTTTTGTAGCAATTTCTGATGTTGGGCAAAACTACCTCTTACACAGCCTATTCTATATTCAATTTCCTTATCTCCAATGATACATTTGTTATAACTGAATCAAGCTATTTGAAGTGTTACATATTTGCTAATTCAACATCCTAAATTTTTATGATGGATATGCCATCACTGATTTCAATCCAATTCCAGATCATTGTTTCTATTTTGGAAAGGTTTATTTTGAGTCCTATTTCTTGGAATACTTGATAGAGGATGTTGATTTTTTTTGTTCAAGATCATTCTTATCCCAACTATGAATACTTGTCAGCCCATCCCTACATCATCAGTACCTCAGGAGGGAAAGCAGGCTCACTGTCTTCTATTAGTTGATTCATTTGTGATGTGGGATGAAAAACTTAAATGATCAATGACCATCTCTTCAAATCTAAGCTTGTAAAAGTACAGGTCATTATCTAGGAAACAATTAAATAGACTGGGGCTCTCATTCCTCCTTTTCATACTCTTGATGAGGTTTGAAATATTTCCTTATTGAGGTCTTTGCCACACATGTAAGATTTCTCTATTGGTAGATTAATAATAAAATGAGCAGCAATAAGAAAAGCTGATATTTTGACTCTTCATCCCAGGTTCAAATAAAATGTAATCTAGTCTGAAATATAAGTGAGTATCTTTTCCTATTTCTCTTTTCCTTTCTGTCACTAGAATCTGCGGTTTATATACAGGGTGCGATGGATAAATTGTTGTCTAAATTATGCAAAAATGAAAATAGCACTGACATCTTATTTTAACAGATATATTTACCAAAATTGCACAAAAATATCTTGAAATACTAAACAGAAAATTTATTCAATAAAATCGCCATTGGCTTCAACCATGGCCTCCAGACGAGTTTGGAATCTCCTGCATCTCTTCTGGATGGTTTCCTTGTTTAAGTTGGTCAATGTTGCCTTCAGTTCATCTTTGGTATTACAAAGAGTTTTTTTGGTTTCTTGCTCAAATGACACCACACATAATGATCAAGGAGGTTGCAATCTGGGGAGTTAGGTGGCCAGATTTAAGGGGTGATGTGGTTGCAGAAATTGTCTGACAGCCATGACTGGTTTCTCCTGCTTGTGTGGCATGGTGCAGAGTCCTGTTGCCAAACAAAGTTTTCCAGCAGCCACCCTCTTGATCCAGGGCAACACTACATCCTCAAGGCACTTAATGTAGGCCTCCATATTGAGTTTGAGGCCCTCACCAACAAATATGAGAGTTTTTTTTTTATCAGAATGATCAAAGTGAGTTTTTTGAGTTGCTGTACCTTAATAATCACTATAAGACTCATCCAACTCATTCCAAATCCTCTGCACTCTTCTCAGATTGGCACCCAAACACTCTGAAATGTTTGTATTGGAGCTTCCAGCGTGAATGCCAAGCAGTACAACATGCTCTTTTCAAATTTCTGGCAGAGTGAATTGCATCATGGTGTTCTTTTTTTCACAGATGGTGCCCAAATGACCCTACTATACTGTGCAGTTGACAAAATCAAAACAAACAATGTACATACATGAAATTAAAAATATAAAACAGCGACAATTTACACATCGCACCCTGTATAATCATTAAAGAGAATAACAATTTTGATATATTTATTTATTTAATAGGCTTATATCTACCTATATATGATGTGTATCATGCTAATCCTATTAAACCCAGGCTGTGTTGAGTGTCCAAGAGGGAAATAGAAAGACAGATAGAGACATAGAAAGACAAAAAGAGAGTGTGAAAAAGAGAAGGATCAGAGGGGTATCTTAAATAAAGGCAGTTTCTTGTAGGTGAGGTGTTAAATCATGTTTTGTGACCTAACAATCTATTGAAGACATTTCAGTATTTTTAAGAGAGACTATGTCACTTTTCTTATAACTATCAGGGAATGGTCATGGGTTGCTACAGAGTGTAGCATTATAAAATTTATCAGTAAATGTGTGTAATTTACACAGGTCCTGCTATAGTACTTATTTAATAAATCCTAATTGTTTAACATTGGTTATATGAAATACTTGTAGTTTTGTTCATACAGAATTGTAGTAATCATCTCTAAGCTATATTATAATTAACAGTACTACAAATAGAAATAATTATAACTTTTACTAATACTTCTGAAATAAAAGAGTGACATAAAGACTAATTAATGTGAGTGAATAAATACATAGATCTGAAAGAAATAGGTAAAGTAGGTAAAACTTACCTTTCATCTTTAATAATTCTTTTTTTATGAGGTGTAATAAACTGAATTTCTCTTGTCTCTTTGACGACGCCTTCACTGGAACTGCTAGAAAGTGAATAAGACTGACGAGAAGCTCTCTCTGCTGCAACAGGCAAATGAAAATATTCATCAGACAAAAGGTTAAAATGGATGGAGACAGACACAGACTGATAAAGAATGGTGAGAGAAGGAGGTACTTTTGAACAGTTATTTACAAAGGCCACTGGGCCAAGATTAACCTGGACAAGCAGAATAGATAATAGGATAAGTAAACATCAAAAGATATCAGTTATACTGTCAATGTTTGTTCTTGAAACCATAGTAACCAGAAAGGATATGTTCAGAAAATTCAGTTATTTGCTCCAAACAAATTTGTTATGGCATTAATTAATACTTTTATTTTCTTGAAGAACTAAGATATTCTAGCTTATTGAGATTTAGTTTATTCTTGGATATAAATAAAAAAAAACCTAGATGTTGTTAACACAGTAGAGAAAAAGAGCTATTGAAATTTGAATCCATAAATGATCAGAAAAAAAAGGTTGGTTACTGTTTACAAAATTCTGCTGATTTAATTGTAACCCTACAACTTGATCTGGTTGTTGGGATGAAATTAAGATCACAAGATTGATGTCATTCTGATCATGTTCCAGATGTAGCACCATATCTGGAATGAGGACACTTTTCAACCTTTGATATCTTTGTTGCAGCTACCAAATGTAACACTATGGCTGGGATGATCTTTGGTATCCATGGTGTTAGGATCCTTGGTTATGACACCAAATGTAACATAGATGATGAATGGTTCATGTTCTGGTTACTGAGTTAGTAATGTCCTGAACTGGAGGCTCCATCACCTATGTTGTGTTTAGAAAATCTGAAGAGGTCCCAAGCTCAGTGTTCAAATATCACAAGTCCAAGCCAACTATATGTCACACAAAACTAAAGTTGATAATGATCAAAGTCTTGAAATAATGATGAAAAAGACCAGAACTCCTTTAAGAAGCTATTAATATGATGCTGTTTCTTTTAGTTGTTAAGTTTTCAATAGCATTTTCCTTTTGCCAATTTTAATACTTGACAGTACTACACAGAAATCTGAGCTTTGAATTGCTCATTTGTAATTATGAGAGTGAGAGAACACTAGTCTGTGTTGGCTAGTTCACTTTTATGTGAGAGAAACTTTGATTTCTTACTACAGTCTAAGTTGGTCTATGTTCCACTCACATGTTGATTCTGTCTGCTTATTTTTCCATTTTTCTCTGATGGCCTAGGGAGAACTATTTCCTCAGTCTTTTCTCTCTCATGCCTTCTTTGTTGACACTTCACTTTTGTTGACTTGCATTATATGAGGACCTAACCTGCTGGTATGGTTTGATCATTAATTTCACAATATCATAGTCCTTAGACAGTTTTCCCCAAAACTATTTTTCCTATATGATTACTGGCAAATATGCCTTTATGTAAAGAAATGACAATGCCTATTGGCTTTGGTCAAGTTTTTATTTTTAGGAACAAATTTTCTATGAGATTTAAATTCATCACTAATTAAATTAATAAGAAAAAATATTTAAAAAAATAAATACTTGTTGTGTATGAAAAATGCTTTTTCCATCATTAGAATATGGATTTATTTACATACCTGTGTGTATGCATGCATGCTCATGTTTGCAAAATGTATAAAAATTGGCAAACATTTTCCAGAAACATTTTCAGTTAGCTGTCTAATTAACAGACAGCAATTTTCAAGTGTGATCAAAATTTATGTCTTGAATGATTCTCAGTTTCAATACACAACTTTCTTTAAAACATGCCATTCAAACAGCTGTTCTGTCAAGAATTTAATCACAAAAAATACTTCTGGTTTTTCAAGTTGAAAAAAAAAAAAAATAAAACAAATTTTATGCACATACAAACACACTGTATCTGTATTTGAGTAAATTTTACTCAAATCAAAATTTTTTCCTGCTCTTGTAATATGCATGCAATTGGGGTGGAGAGAGTTCCACACAACCTAAATTTTAAGCTATCACCCCTTTTACCTCTTTTATACAACTAAGTTTCACTAAAACTAAAATATTCAAAATCTTTCTTGTATTAATCCATTATTATCTAAAGTATAGATGTTTTTTAAACCCATTAATGCTAACCATAAAATCCAGTCTTAATTATAAAAATTTAAATCTGGTTTTAGTTATAGGTTTCTACCTATAATCCATTAATCAATAAGATATTGATATTAATGGGTTATTCTTTTACGAACATTATCAGTTAATATGCTTACAAAATACTTTAGATCAAACCAAAAACATTTAGACATTCTTATTCTATTCTGAACTTCTTATGCTTGGCAGCACCAGCTTTATGAGATCAGTGGCAACAACTAGGGCCAGAATTTTAGCTATTTCTGATCTAAATGCAGAGATTTTATACCAAATATGAAGCAGAAAAAATTCTTCTGCACTTGATAGTGAGGATTTCAGCTATATAAATAAATGCATTATGTGCTTCATCATTTTAACTTCAGCTGCATATATTTAGATATTTTTTTATACTCTATACAGTATAGTCTTTTGGTGCATTGTGTTTTAATCTGATAGGAGCAGGGAATGTTTTTTTAAGCAAAAAATACACACACACACTGTTGAATGAGACTGAAAAGGTACTTTTATCAAAAGAACTCAGAACCAACAAACTTTTGAGCAATTTTTACATTTATTAAGTCCAGAAAAAAAGACACTTATATGTATACAAGAAAAACATAATAAAAAAAATAAACAAAAATACTTTGTCAGTCTTGTTCAACAAAACATGTATTAAAATGGGATTGCTACACACACACACACAAAACATGTATTAAAATGGGATTGCTACACACACACACACACACACACACACACACACACACACAAAATACTTTTCTTAAATATTTTAATTCATAAAACAAAACAAAAATTTTCCAAAAAATGAAACATTGAGTGGAAATAATTGATCTGGTAAGGGATTAAGGGAGATAATTCATAAAAGTGTACTGGTAAGGGGTTAAGCTACAGAAAAAAAAAATTTCTTATTTCATTAAATTCATTACAGAATAATAGCATCTAATTGCCAATGGCTTATGAAAATGTGTGAAGAGAAATCACATTTTTGGTACATGAATTACAAAAAGAACATCTTACAAATACTTTCAATCTATTTTATAAATAAATGAAAAGAAATAAGGTTAGCAAATCCAAAAAATAAGAGAAGCTCATGAACTTACCAAGTCTCTCAATGCTTTCTTTGATTCCCTTCATTCCAGGGATGGCGGCAGTGGCCTCAGATGTAAAAGACAAGATTTTCCTCTTTAAGACTTTGTCAGAATCCCCAGAATAGGAACTTGCTCTGAAGTTTTGAAGAAAATCTTGTTAGTCATAAAAAGGGAATAAATAAATATAAAATGGTACATATATCCAAACCAGTCTGACTGCTTTTTGACAATTTAACCAAAAGTCTCATAACGCCACAAAATATAGTCTATACATGGTAATGGCTTTCTGTCATCTATTACAGACTGCACAAAAAACATGTCTTGACACAGAGATGGCTAGTTGTTCTTGGGTAGAGTGAGTGGATCATCTCTGACTGTTAGAGAATTACCTGTGATATTTCTGCCCATTTAAATGAAGTAATTAACAGAGATGAAAGGATTTAGTTAGTAGAGAAGCCATTAAAGATTGGACACTGACCAGACAGTAAGATCAGATCAAAGCTTGGAAATGTATTACTTATTGCATTAGTTTTTCACTCTGTAAAATCTTAAGCAATAAAGCAGAATTTGCAAATAGTACTTAGCTGAAAAAATGTTGTTTAAACTAACTTTGGTCAGTTGGGATAGAAATTTTGCTTTTGTATTGTTTAATAGTACAGTTACCTTACCTTTATTCCAGACATATGCAAATATGGATTCCAAGACCATGACAGGAAATGATGAGAAGATAGATTTACAAATTTGATTCCAGCAGATACATTGGACATAAGGCATCAGGGTTCAGTTAATGGCAAGCCTTTAGTTGAAAGTATATGAAATAGTAGTTGAAGGAACTGAAGTTTGGAGGGTAAAAACTTCACTGAGAACATGCCAAAACTGAGAAGCTAAAATTTTGTGTGTGTCTATTTCAACAGATATTTCAGCTGAGCTTGGGTTCTGATGATGTAGTTTGTCAGGAAAAAAGTTAACATGCATGAACATAGTGATATGAATCTAGTTGATGAATCTAAGACATATCTGAAGAAATCAGAATATGCATTCCTTAAAATAAGGATTCACAGGAAATGATTGGACTAATAAAAACTGGGAACAAACTTAGCATCTCTATTTTCCTGGTCGTAAAATTTGGTTACTTTCAGCATAGTAGCTTTCCAGCTTTCCAGCTTTCCAGATGTCTTGTTTTTGATATGTGGTAAGTTGAATTTAGTAAATGTCAAATAAGTTTATTGAGTTACTATTACATTATTTTTTTATCAGAGGCTATAAGTATTACATGACAATCTCTTATAATACTGACGTTTTTCATTTTGAGAAAAAGTAGGAGGAAAAACATGAACAGAAAAAATGAGAGATGAAACTCAAAGTACAAAATAATTATTATTAAAATTTAGATGTTAAGATTAGTTTCTTTATTAAAGGAATGTAAAATTACAATATGGCAGATATCTTAATATTTTTCTTATATTCACAAAGTATTTAAGCAAGTAGAAAATAAAAAGATATGATATTCACTTGCTTATATATATATATATATATATGGTCAAGCTAGCTCGAACATTTATAAGTCTGGCACATCAACCATCGTGGTCATTCATCAAGGTAATTAATGCGGCATTCTGTGTTATAACATAGTTGGTCAATGTAAGTGATTGCTGGGCAACCAACCTGTCTTGTGCCATGGCTAAGTGTCCAGAGCAGGAGATCACTTGCAAGTTCTTGTTTTGCTTACCAGGAGTGTCCTGAAAAGTGTATTCTGCGTTCACATCAGATTGTAGAAATATCAGGGATGGATTCATAGAGCTGTGTTTAGCTGGATGTCATCTCCAAGAGATGTTAAGTATAGCTGTCAACATCTGAGTGTAGGTCCCATCAACCTTATTCTCTAGGGTTTTAGCTAACATCTAAGCAGTAGCACCATGCATTAAAACTACCTCTACAGTGATGCAAAAGAATCTTCATTTGAGGTTGTCTGGTAGATCAGATTTCCAGATTACATTCATTTTATTCAAGGTGGTACAGGCTTTAGCTATGTGAATTTTCACACTTTTCATTAAAATTTATTTTGCTTCCTAGATATATAAAAGATTTAACAGATTTTATTGATTTTCCTAAGACAGTTTGTATTGAGCCTTGCTGGTTGAAGCTTATGAATTCAGTTTTAGAGGCATTGACAGTCAGGCATCATTAGCAGCATTTTCTAGATTATGTAGGAGAACTGTGGCATTGATAATGGTGTCTGCAGTGATAGCTAGGTCATCTGCATAGTCAATATTGATCAACTTTTTTGCAGGATATCGACTTGAGAGACTTGGTGATAAAACCCTAAAGAAGGTTGAATAATATTTTCTTCCTTCATAAACAGTTTTCAAAACGTTAATAGTATACCACATAAGACAATACCACTTAAAATTACTGTACCATGCAAAAGTCTTTGGTTACTTTAAACTATTGTAAATTTCTAATAATTTCCAGTGAATGTTTCACATTGCATTATCTACTGATGAAGCAGTGGCCCTACTGGAATTATTTCTATACTTATATTTTATATCAGAAATTCTGGATGAGATAACACCCAAAATTTTGCAGCTAACTTATATTTCTAATTTTCTCTTTTTGGTGCTGTTGCAAATATCTTTTCATGATAGCAAAAGTCTTTTTCTACATATAATGAAAATTCTTACATTAAATTCCAGCATTCTTTCATTACTTGAAATCATAGTGAAAATTTCCAAAGAAATCAGGATGAAGATAGCGAAGATGTCCAAGAATATGAGCCAGTAAGCAATTGCTAAAGAATTCATTTCAGGAATTCTCTTGAAATTTCAAGGCACTGGAGGTGTTTTAGATCAACTAAAATGTGCTTGCCCTTGAAAGCTGCACCACTAGATAGTACAGAAATGGGTGAGAACAGCAAAAAGGTCAATCAATGAAAACTGCAAGACAATTGATGAGTGAGTATGACTAATTTGTTGTCAATAGATATCACTAAGCACATCCTTCAAGAACATTGGTAAAGGGGTACATTTCAACTAAGAAAACTAGTTTTGATATGTAAATGACTACCTAATAAGCATAGTTAAGCAGTAAGGGTAGAGAAGCTCTTGGTATGCAAGATAAATGACTACCGCCAGACTGATAAAATATGAAGGAAATGACACTTAATAACACAAGCATTAAGCAAGAAGCAAAAAGGTTATGAATTATAGGATGTAGATGCTTGGAATAAGATCAAATTCAGCAATGAAACTAGAACTAGGGCTGTATTCTAATAAGTGATCTTTTGCCTATAGGAAGATGAAATGACCCACATTACATGACAAAAACAGTAAAGTTTAGGAGCAAGAATGATTCTCTGGGATATATAAAAAGTGATAGTTTAATAAAGTTGGTTAAAATTGACTAACTTGAATAGTGCCAAACTTATCCAGTACCTGAAGGTCTATTTATTACCAGACATGGATGAAAGTGAGATTTTTCAGCATGACAGAGCTCCATACTACAGATCATGAGCAACACAACAAGCAAATATAAACAGAATTAAAGAGAAGAGTTTGACAAAAAATCCACACAATCTTGAAGAGTTGTGGAAGTTCAGCTATAGAGAATGGTAACTCATTTGTGGAGATAATGAAGGATTTGTACACAACCTGACCCAGGTGCATTAAAGCAATTATTCAAGCTAAATGAAGCCACATGAAATAATAACAATGTACAGTAAATTCTTAAAATGGATATTATGTAATAGATTTTTATTATAGACATTTTTTCCATTTTAAAACACTGTATCTGGCTTTGTTTATGTGTGGTGGACAAAAACTTTTGCATGGGCATTTTGTGGATCATCTCATGTCTTTTTCCCTCATTCAGAACCCCAGCTGCAAAATATGATAATTAGGTATTGAAATAGTTGGGATCATTGAGTCAATGCAATTGATCCTTTCCTTGGCTACATGCAGTTTTGAATTCAGTGTTTTTCCTTCTAGACTGTTTGCAATCCAAGGCTATAGAACTCATGCTGTCCTATTTACCCATAGCTTGGGAGAGAATAGATGGATGCATACCTTTCCCATTTGAATACATTTACCTACTTGCTTTTCCAAAGCAAGTAGGTAAATGTAATGAATTTGACTGGAATTCAAACTTAGCTCAGGGTCAATATTTCATCTATAAACAATGTGATGCAAAACTGGAAATTATTAGAAGTTTAGAATAATTTAAAGCATCTGAATATTTTGTACAGCGCTGTATTTGACAGCGTGTGTGAATTTCAATTTTGTTTACAGCTAAGAGTTATTGACTTTGTGAAATTAAACTAAAATTGATACCATGTTGACAAGTGTTAAGTTGTCTATTTTAAGAGCATACCATTATATAATCTTATCAACTGCCCATTTGAAAAGATAGTATTTTAGAGTGAACAAATTGACCTTTATCCTTTACAAATAATAAGAGAAGGCAAGTGGCAAACAGGAGAGAGAGCTTGTTTTAATGTCACTTATAGTGTCCCAATCACCTAGATATGATGACTGTATCTGACTATCAAAAGTCTTTAAAAAAAAATAAAAATGTAAAAAAAAAAGACATTTGTGACCTATAAAAAATTCTAATGGTTTTCTCATTTCAAGAGTGAAGTTAGTTCTAACTTATTAAAGGAAGGTGTTGAAAAGTTGCCAGCCCAAACAAAAAGGGATACCCCAACTAAAATTCTGATTTAGTTATTTATTCTGATCCTTGGAAGTAGGCCAAGCTGTGTATTTTTCAGCTCCCCTCATAAATGCCTTTTTTTTACATTTTTAATGAAAGCAGTTAGGCCTTGTTTAGAACATATTTTCTTCTTTCTGTTATCCATATTATTGATTAAGAACTCATGTTTTCAATTGACTAGACATGCTCAATGCATGATACAATGATGTATTACTGCTATATTCATGATTTGTATATAAATCAAAAACTTTTTACCCTTTCCCTAATGACTCTAATAGAAAATTTGATAAACATGCACAAATGTGTCTGCAATAAGATGTAGTGTCAAAAAGAGTTTTTCCATGATACCACTTTTTTAACTACCTTCACTCATCAACAATGTTTATTCTTTTAAAAAGCAATGATTAGAATTGGAATAAAACTTAAACAT